TACCGAGAAATGATTGGCCGACCGATATTTGGCGCCGATTGAACATGGCTATCTATTACTATTTTCAAATGTCAATGCAAGAGAAAGCTTTTTTATCTCTCGTTTGAACTCCAGGTACAACAGCTGTAACCCAAGCTACCTAGATTAGTATATTATCCCATTACTTATGTTTATATATATATACACACACTATACGTATGATGGTCCTTTTTGGATGTATTTCAAAAGACACGGTTGTTTTCCAATTTCTAGCAGAGGAGATGCACAATGCAAGTATGTACGTGTGTGGTTGTGGCGAGGGGAGGGGGGGATACATTGGTGTGCGGAGCGTAGTTGTTGGGGGGTTGGTTTTGATGAATCGGTGGGTGGGGGTGGGGGTTTCCTCTGGCAACCACGTGGTTTGTGTATGTTGGATGTCGGTTCTTATAGGTACAGCTTGATCAACTCATCACTCACGCCACTGGGTGTCAATACGCCAAGATCCGTAAGTAGCAATGTGAAATATTGTGGAGGTGTATAATCGACTAATGGGTTGGATCCTTCAAGCTGGTCTGTGCTATCGGCTTGGGTGCTGCTAAATGATTTCCGTCGAGAAGTGAAGCTCACAATTTCGGGTAATGCTGAAGGAAGATCGTATTGGTTCAATGGATATACACGCACAAACTTGTAACTATAATACATCACATTATTATTAGCATGTTGTTGATACAAAAGGATGGAATACGCCTCACCTCTCAGCCACAGCATAAACGGGCTTGCTCAATGCATTAGCAACCAATGCAATTTGATAAGTGCCGATCTGCATACAACATAGAGTTATTTCCCACGTATATAAATGTATGTCTCTTTGCTTCTCCTTACCTTGTTGATCACACCACCATTCTCTACAACACCTTCAGCGCCAACAAATACCATATCAACCTTATCCATAATGTATCCGACAGCCGAGTCCAATACAGCTCTACATGGGATACCCGCTTCACGTAGATAGTCCACAGCTTGCAACCTATATGATAGATGGATCAATATCATGCATATCACCTGGTTCCTTGCATCTACTTACCCATCGCTGTTGGGTCTTCCTTCAGTGACATAGACCTTGAATCGCTTGTGCTGAACATTGGCGGCATGTTGAAGGACGCTCATGACCACACGAGAATAGGCATGGACAAGGACAATCGAATTATCTTGAACAAAATGGGCACCCACTTCAGCAGCACGAAGACGAGCAGAGAAGGCCTTTTCCAAAATCAAACCAGCACGATGCAACAGCTTTTCCTTGAACTCGTCAAAGCTGCGAATTTCGGATGAACGCTATTGAAAAGATCAATCAATCAATCATCCATACACACAATGCTATCTTCTTCTTCCTCATCCTCCTCTTACCGAAAAGTCGTGCGAGTGTCTGGTAACAAAACGCATAAAAAGATCGACACCAGCAAGGGCAGCAATGGTTGCCTTGTGTTGTTGGTTTTGCATGCGGGGAGCTGATTCCTTTGACTCGTCACGAATCGATTGCGCTGCACGTTCCAAGGTGACCATAAACTCGGACATAGTAGGTGCTACACGTAGTGGTATTAGATCCAATCCCACTTTTAGATACCTTTTTTACACGTTACCAGTATTGTTGCGACAAAAGTCGGTAAGCGCCTTGAAAACAGCTACAGGTGTCGATAGATCCTATACGTTTGACATTGGGATGAATACCATGAAGGAAGAGTTGCGTGTTTGCGTTGGCTCTTACAGGATCTTGGAGAAATGTTTGGTAAAGGTCAATGACCCCCGAGCGATCGAGCTTCGATTCGTCTTGCATGGCTACCATAACTGTTGAATGCACGTTAAAAAGGTGGGTGGGTGGGTGCACGTCGCGTGTGTTGGAGTGAAAACTTACAGTGGAGGAGGAAGAAGAGACAAGTTTGGTGATGCTGTGACTCATTCACTCTCAGTTTTGCTGTGCACTACATAGCAACAAAGCCCTTCCCTATCATCATCCCCTCGTCCTTCCCTCTTATCATTTTACAACAGCTATTCAATGTATTCAAGAGCATTGATTTATCAACAAACGTTTGCCATATTTATTATCTTTGTTGATTTGACCATTTTGGAAGCAACTACTACCTTGTGTCTTTTGAGTAGTAGAGCCTAGCAACAGTAACCAAGGAACGCTATAATGTACAGCCTTTGTATGCTAGTATTACAGCATAGGTGGTATCTCATAAAGATGATGAATACACTCGAGCATACGTATGGATTTATTTCTTGAACAATGCTAAGAAGTGGGGGATCTTTAATACGCACAAGGATGTGGGTCAATGGTAGCTGCCTATCCCCATAGCAGCACTCTTCTATCATTATACAACCTCATCGTCAATTTCATCGGATATGGATATGCCGAGTAACCAGTGAGAAAGTTGACAGTGGTGGTGAGATGTAAAGTACAGAGAGCGAGCCAGGGTTGATTGACGACTACTTTAAGCCCGCACTTTGGCCGTATTTATTTTCTTTCTTTACATACACACTACTCAACTTGCTCCCGACGCTATGCTTCGTACGATCGCAGCTACTCGTTTGATTACCACGCGTCTTGCACGTGCTTACACCACTGAACCTGCAGGTAATGGAACGATCGATTGGGAAATGTCAAAGGTGGATTGGCTGGTCTCATGAGGGTATCACTCTATACGTAGGCTTGTTGACTCGACTCAAGGACGATCGCAAGACGTTTATGCGCGCCAAGACACAACCTGATTTAAATGTGGTCAAGAATATCCTGAGTGATTACACCTACTATATCAAGTCTCCCAATGCCAAACCTGGTCAAAGCGAGGAAGCTGCCGTATTGAGTGTGATCCAAAAGTTGGTCAAGCGTCGTCAAGATGCCATCGGTCAATACAAAGCAGGTGGTCGACCTGAATTAGCAGAACAAGAACAAGCCGAGCTTGCTGTATTGCAACGCTACCTTCCCGAACAAATGTCCACTGAAGAGATTGAAGCACAAGTCAAGAGTATCATTGAACAAGTGGGAGCTACGTCTATTCGTGACATGGGCAAGGTGATGAAGGCATGGACTCATGAAGGTGCTGATAAGAAAGCTGTCAGTGATGCTGTCAAAAAGTTGCTTAGTAGTCAATAAAATGATATAGAGTACAATACAATAGAGCCAAGAGAAATTTGGGGGAGCTTGTGGGGGGAAACATTGTACTGCCAAGCTGCTTGGACCACCACATATATAAGTACCGACCTTTCACCTGAGATTTAAGGGGCCGGCCAAGACACTCTTCTTTTCGCATAAACTACATTTCACCATGGGTGGCGGGCGTTCTATTAACAACAACAACAGTAACCATCATCCTCAATATCAATACGCACCTCTCTATCCACAAATACCGTCCGCTTCTACTAATCCCTTTGAGGTAGAAAAAAAGACTTCTTTTATTAATGTCGTCAATCGTTTTACTCATCTTCTCCGTACCTGTTACAGACCACTTGGTACAACCCTCCACCAACACCAACTCCAGCTCCTCCACCGTTACCGCCAAAACCACCTGCAGCAGCAACTTCAACGTATTATCTACTACCACAGTCAGAGCCAATGTCAACTCAAGGACAACATGCACTGCGTCTGATTTACACAAAGTCTGGATTCTTTGTTCGATCGCTCGATGTCGGGTATAGCCAAGACATTCATGGCTTTCTTTCTATTGTCTCAAGGAACCAAGTAAGCATAGCTTGTGCAATGACGACTGCTTCTGCTACTTGCTAGAATTTCATTACTGATATAGTATCCATCTCTCCAGGCACAAGTTGATATTGCTCTTGCTTGGATACCCGAACACTTAATAGACACTCAAGATCTTGGTACATTTATTGGATTGGATGGCACGTTGGCATCAGAGCAAGGTAACGCAACGAAAAGGATGGAATGTCAAGATGTATACATGTATTCATGAATGCTGTTACACAGGGTTTCCCAACATTGCTTGGAATTCAGGCGAAGGTGAAGCCATGTTGATACCCATAGCCGATATCTATTCATTATACGTGTGTCCACCATCATCCAGCCATCAGCCAGCAATACAAAACGATGATCATGGATCCATTATTATCACAACGCGACAAGGGGATGTACTACGGCCGCTATGGTATCATGCAAATGCATCATGGCCTGGATATGATATTATCGACATTTTAGGTGCCTTTGTCGTGACTCAAAGGTAAGTAGCATTTATCAGTAATGAACCCAATGATTGATTTGTGTGATGTAGAGTGCCAGATGATGAATACACGTACCTTGTACAGCAACCCACAGATGGTGTGAATAATACTATACCCGACAGCGGCGATTCCACTTATCGCCATCCATTACTGCGATCTTCATCCACATCATCTTCAGCATCAACACCACGACAAACCGCTACCGATGCTCAACTTCATCAAGCCATTCGAGATGCACGATTCAATATTCTGGAACGATTTTCACGTATCACAAGGTTCTCTCGGGATACTGCCGGTAAGAGATTGGGCCACGTGCCGTTACTTTTACGTACTCTATCACCCATCGCTGACATTTACATCCAAACCGCTTGCTTGTCATATTAGCTCACGTGCTTGATCATCCTATTGCCAAGGCCATTATACCCCTGTTACCCCCATCTGTTCAAGCGATGCGTAACAATGACACCGTTCAACAAACAATGAACGACTATGATCGTGCTACCTATTATCTCGCCCAATGGTAATAATGATCCAATGACGATGATGATGATTTGGTGTATTCATTGTGCTTTTATCTTAGGGGAGATGAGAATGAAAACTCGGCAAATGAATGGTGGCGAGTGGATGACCCTGAAGGGTTACTCAATGACATGCCTGAAATGAACATGGTAAGTAGTACATGCCTATTGCACAGGGTGAGGCTAAATGATCTATACACGTATAGCCCACACCTACACACACAAGACGAGACCCTATCGAACCTGAAGAATGGGTGGATTTCTTTGATGATGAAGGCAAACTACGAGTTACAGAGCGACATGTGCTAGGTCTCGTTTTTCGAGCTGGTTTGCATCCCGATGTCCGAATTGAAGCTTGGAAGTTTATTCTTGGCATTTATCCATGGGACAGCACCTTTGATGAACGTGAAGCCATCCGTCGCAGCAAAGTGGATGAATATTACGAATTCAAGGCACGTTGGTTTAACGATACAGAGGTGCGTAGTACCAAACATTTCATGGATGAGAAGCATCGGATAGGTAAGTTCAATAGCAAAAGAGTGAAATCATCTACACACACCACTCACACACTCATTTGTGCGTGAAATAGACAAGGACGTGCATCGAACGGATAGGACCATTGCTGTATTTGAAGGCGAAGACTTACCCAATCCTGACCCGGATATGGCAGTGGGTACCAATGCCAACATGGAGATTATGAAAGACATCTTGGTCACCTACAACTTTCACAATACGGAGCTTGGCTATGTGCAAGGCATGTCTGATTTATTAGCACCCATCTTTGTGGCTATGGGGACCGAGGAGATGGCCTTTTGGTGCTTTGTACAATTCATGAACCGCGTCCAATGCAACTTTTTTATTGACCAGTCGGGTATGCATGGCCAGTTACAAACATTGGATGCGTTGATTCGATTTATGGATGCACCCCTTTACAAGCACTTTGAGGAAACCGAGACGTCCAATCTATTCTTTTGCTTCCGATGGTTACTTGTATGGTTTAAACGCGAGTTTGAATGGGATGATGTGATCCAATTATGGGAGGTAAGGAGGAGGAGACATGCTTGGAATGATGTATGTATGTATGTAAACATGACTAAATGATGATGATCATGATCATGCAGGTTTTATGGACGGACCATCTCTCGCCCCAAATGATCATGTTTATCGCCCTGGCTGTTCTTGATAAGCATAGACAAGTCTTGTTGGATCTACAGCAATTTGATGAGGTGCTCAAGGTAAGCACAAAAGATGGGAGTAGTAAGGCATCCCTAACTTAATGAATGTTGCATAGTACATCAATGAGCTTACGGGAACAATTAATCTGCGTGAAACACTCGAACGTGCCGAGGTGCTGTTTTATTTGTTTGAACGCAAAGTCAAGGCCATGGATAGAAAACGTGAGCAATTGAAGGAGCGCTTACAAATGCGATCTGTGTGGAATGGTGATGAACGGCCCAAAGTTGAAAAATCGATCCAAGATCTCAAAGTGGATGACAAACTTCGAGCATTATTGAAGAAGGCGTAACATTGGTATGAAGGGATTTATTGCACAAGAAAAAAAGGAGCAAATCCATATATGTACTTTTGGTAATTGTTACATCAACAATGAATAAAGAAAACAAACACCCACATACTACGATGCATTGCCTCTTTCAAAGATGAATGGGTTGATAGATTGTTAAAGCGCGGCGGTAGTGGTCATGATGGTGAACACACAACAAAATGACATGTGATGCACGTGTTAAAAGGAAAGGAAGGGTGGACGTGGAATAGCTAAATGAGGTATCTCGTGCGGACTGTGAACCGAGACAAGAGAGAGTGTGTGTGTGTGCCAAGCAGGTGGCAATTGTGTGAGTGTGCGTTGGTGTGGGTGCGAGTGTTTTTTTTTCTTAACTCCTTCTATTTCTTATTACTTTACACTTTCCTATGGAGAGGAATACAACGGCATACTATGAAACGCTCGGTGTATCAAAGTCTGCTACGCCTGAGGAGATCAAAAAGGTACCCCATGGTTCAATGGCACCCGCCGATCCACGTAGAAAACAGAATCGCTGATCTCGCCATGCATTTCTCTTGACAGGCGTATCGACGACTAGCCCTACGTTATCATCCTGATAAGAACCCTGATAGTGCTGACCAGGTATACCATCTTTGCAAATACAACCTATCCCTTGGTTCTAACAACGATCCTCCCTCTTTATAGTTCAAAAGTATCAGTGTTGCTTACGAGGTAAGTGTGTGGATCTCGATATAGAGAGGACAACCCTTACTTATGGATGATGATGATGATGATCAGGTGTTAAGCGACGAGCAAAAACGACGAGTGTACGATCGTTATGGCGAATTAGGATTGCAAATGATGGATACGGTTGCCAGCCCTTTGTTTGATCCCGAGATAGAATCGATGCTCTTTTCGTTGTTCTTCACCATCGGCCTTGTCTTTGCATTGTTGATTATCTTTTTCGCCTTTTTGACGGTGCGTATCGACGAGATTGTTCTCTGGAGTTGGGGTGTTGTTTGGATCCCATTATGGATTGTCAATGCCATCCTTGGATACATGGTTGTCAAGTACTTTATCAAGGCCCTTCGAAATGATAAGGATGATGATGACGATGATGACGACCACGATGACGATGATGAAACCAAACGAGCTCAACGCAAGGCTGCTCGACGAAGATTACGTGTCATGCAACAAGGTGTCTTTGTTCTTTATTGGATCCTCGTGCTCTTGTTCCAAATCTTTATTGTCCTTCGTCTTGATGAACGAGTGAATTGGTCTGCGGCTGTCATCTTTATTCCCTACTTTATCCTTGAAGGAATCCACTTTGTATTGCAAGCAGTGGCATTTACATTGGCTATACGTGCTGGTGGTGCCAGGGTGGATAAACGGCAGATCCCCATCCTTGTATTCAAGCAATTCTGGTTATTTGCCATTCGATTGGTCTTGTTTGTTCTTATTGCAACGCGTATCGATGGCACCATTCAATGCTCGTGGGGAGTTGTATTTATTCCCTTGTATGTGGTGGCAGTCAAGTATGGAGTGCAGCTGGCAATGAGCTACGCCACGTATAGCCGCTTAACAGCTCAGCCCGAACTTGCTCACCAAGGCAAGGTGTCTGTGGTACTTGGTGTTGTGGCGTTGGTTGTGGTGGGTGCCTTGGCCTATGCACTTATTGGCTTATTGGCTCGTCGGTTGGACGGCATCAACTATATTCGAATGGCGACGGTGTTTGTTCCGCTGTTCATTGTGTTGGTACGTCAAGTTTCACATGTAATGCAGGTACCACAGCTCTCTCTCTCTAATTTTTATACATCATGTATATAGGCATTATTATGTTGCTGTGCAGGATGTTGTCTCCCTTGCATGGTGATGATTTCAACGGCTGCTGATATGGAAGACCTTGAGCAACAACAACAACTCGTCGATCCTAACCGCCGAATCACACAATCAGGAGAATCCTCATCATCAAGCACAATGTAGAGAAAGACGACGACGACGACATCATCATTCATTCATTTATGCTGTTGCTGTATATCCATTCTCCTTGTCTGCATCATTCCTTTCCTTCCTTCCTTCATACATAGCTATTCATTTTACTGTAATCTTTTACTTTTATTCATCCATAATATGATGTTTTCCCCCTCATCATGCATTTTCATCTCTTTTCCTGACCCGGGATTGTGTAAAAAAAGCTGGCTTGTCTTGGCTGTGTTACACGAGATCGTTGTACAAGGTCGCCTACACAAAACTAAGAGCAACTTGAATCCGGCATTTTTACACTTATCTAACTCCTCCTCTTCTTCCTCCTCCTCCTCATTCTCCCTTTCTACCGCCACGACAATTCACCTCTTGTCATGTCCTTACGAGTCGACTGGAAACACCCAAGCACAAGGAAAATCATTCTGTCATATCTACCGGACTGGATTCTCGTGGCAGTAATGGCAGGTGCCTTCTTTGGCATCGATCGTATTACCCCATTCCTACGTGAATTCTCTCTTGAAGACAAGACAATTATGCATCCCCATTCACCCAAAGATTCCGTACCCATGTGGGTTGTTGGTGTAAGTTGTATTCTGGTGGGAGGTTTCATGTGCCTGTGTATGTGTGTGTGTGTGTGTGTGTGTCGGCAAAGATTAGGCGTGGATACAATACGTGCTTAGCAACAACCACAACCACTCACCATGACATTTATTATCAAAAGGTCATTTGTTTCATTGTACCGATTATCATCATGGCAGTCCTTTCTCTTGGTTTCAAGCGTAGCATTGTGGATTTTCATAGCGCCGTGCTAGGTAAAGTGGATATATGAGTGATGACATGTGATCCTGGAACGAGTCTATTTATGGAGCTCGCGTTTTCATGTAGGTCTTTGTCTAAGTCTGAGCATGTGCTGTATGTTGACATCGGTTACAAAAGTAAGTGATGGTGGATATATAAGTTGGTATGGATGAAACTAATAATAAGAGGAAGATTACTGTGGGCCGACCTAGACCCGATTTCATCGACCGTTGTCAACCACCAGCAGACGCTCATGATCCAACCTTTGGCATGTCCAACTATACCATATGCACTACACCCATGGATACCCACATGATGATTGATGGTTTCAAGAGCTTTCCTAGTGGACATTCTTCATGTAAGCAAGAATCAGGAGAACCAAATTGGATGATGATCAGCATGAAATTAATATGTGGCTTTAGTTTCATTTGCCGGCTTGGCTTATCTTGCATTCTATATTGCAGGCAAGATGCAAATGTTTGATGAGCGTGGGGTAAGTAACAGGATGAAGCACATACACTATCGCTTGTCATCATCTTACGATTATCCTCTGGACCATGTATAGCATACATACAAAGGCTTCATTTTCGCATTCCCCATTATTGGTGCATTGTTGGTAGCCATTTCCAGAACTTCGGATTATCGACATCATTGGCAGGATGTTTTTGTTGGCTCTTTATTGGGTATGTTGTCAATTTGGCGCGTCTATGATCATGATGGGGCTCACATGACGGCACGTGATGTAGGTTTTGGATGCGCATTTTTCGCATATCGACAATACTATCCCGCATTGGCACACGCGACATGTCACCATCCCTACAAGACACGTATTTCCACCTTCAAAGACGCGGTCATGCATCGATTTGAAACAACATCCAACAGATTTCACCACCATCAACAACAACAACAACAACCTGCTTACACAACATCAAACGAGCAAGCTGATAATTCCCGTTTGCTTGGTGCTGAGACAGGGAATGATAGCTATCCACTCCATGACACCCACAGTGCTCAATCGAGCCATGCACACACTGCAGTCGACATGTATGATCCTCCTATCAATAAAATATAGCATTGTTACAGTACAGCAAATGGTCCATTGGTATTAAGGGAATAGTATCCATTGTACAGCTACTACGTATTAGTATTACTATTATTAGGATCGGCAGCATTGTACCAAATTGTGCCGTTGCCATGGCTACGTCTTTGGCTGTAGCTATCCCTTTTGATATCATCAACGTCATCGAGCAACCCTTCCACAAACGTCTCACGGATATAGCAATCAATGATACCAGGGATAGCGAGTGAATAGTCCCTCCAAAAGCTGCAGCCAGGATGATCTCCATGTCGTCCCACAGCATGCAAAGTAAAATCAGGAGAACGTTGCTGATGACTACACGTACATGTTTACAAGCAATGTATGTACATAATGTTAGTAAAAAGATACAAGCCTTTACTTGATTATCATCCTTTCACCCTTCAATTGGAACCAACCAGCCCCCCCTATTGTGCCTCCTTCTTCTCCTTCTCCTTCAAAGCAGTATTGATGACGATGCTTGTTGTATACTTACGCAAATATTTGACCAAGTCCATAATGGTGTACTGCGAGCAAGTCCAAAGTTTCGCTGGTTCGTGGAATCACCATGGATTCAGCTTCATACGCCATCCGGTCACCAAAGTACATACAAATCTTGCGTTCAAAGCACATGTCAAGCTTGCTACTTGATGGGGTATCCTTCCTTGTATTGGTCGTTAAACCTTCTTGATGATCATTTAAGATGTCGGTTGTAGTAACATTGGATACGCTCTCATCTTCATCATCTGATAAAAATGGCGACGATTGATAAGGCACAATGTCATTATAGAGTATTTCTACACGGCTCGGTGCATTAAAGAATGCCGATAAAAGACGTTGTAATTGCCCTGAAGTTTGCAACACCATGCGTTCTTGTGGCGAGAATGCATTTGGCAGTGGCTGAAATACGTTGGATGCCGTCACTATGGTGCGTGGGGGGGATGTTGCAATTATTAGTCCATCATTCAAAAACAGCAAGAAAATTTTCATACATACAGTGATCGGTGAAATTAAAGGGGATTGTTCGGTAGTGAAGTGTGCCTTCGGGTTGTGGAAGCATTTTACTTGAAGATGGAAGAGGAAGCAAATAGAAAAAATGTCTTGAGGAAAGCATAACATTATCGTATATATAAGTAGTTTAGCTCTCCCCCAATCTGCGATCGCGTGCATGTGTCCCTTTTTTGCAATAACAAGTGTCCCATTTCTCTTGTGCTATTTCAGCAGCCATGCAAAATCATTGTCATTTACCCTTGTATCCCTGGACATAGTCTTGGATGGTGGGTAGGATAGGCTACTCATTAATCCTCTTGCTCTCTATATCCAGCGATCCGTTATCTTGGTTCTGTGTCGCGCCATTATCTGCCAAAGCGAGTAATCGGTTATGCATTGCTATGTACAAATGGACCTAACTATATGCAGAATACAACCAAAACATCACTTTTCGCTTTAGTAGTTTGCTTTAAAGGGTGTTGATTATGCTTTATTTGCGGGTTGAAATGACACTGACAATGTTGTCAGCATATGTAATGTTTCAAATAGATGGCTTTCATTGCATGATACAGTAGATGCATGCTCCTTTGTCTAGTTGAATAAAATCAGCAAGGGCTCAAAAGCCTTTATACATGGTCATGTTGATTCTTAGTTGATTTCTTCTTGTGCAATACCCCGTAGCTTGTAACGATCAACCTTATCGCTCTTAGTTAAAGGCAACTTTTTTAGGCATTTCGCACCACCAGAAAGCTCCATTTCAGCTTGCGGAACTCGATTGTTGACATACGACACAAGCCCATCGATAAACGCTTGTTGATCCTTCTCACTATTCTCCACAAGTACAACGTATGCCCTTGGTAACTCGCAACCAAGTCGTTCGCTGAATCCACCAACAACACAACATTCTTTTATATCATCGCTGTATTGATACTAAGGGAAAATCACTTGTTAGTAAGAGGCGCTTTCTCAACTTTCAGCTTACGCACGCAAAGATCTTCAAGAAATGCCGACGGGAACTACATTATCACCGGTGTTAGTTGTACATGCATCATGAGATCATGAAAGACACGATCATGCCATGTGACATTTACCGTTCTCCCTTTTGCTCTAATACGATCAGACATCCTGCCACGGTATTGATAATTGCCATTGTTATCGACAACAAAGTAATCACCGGTCCGATAATATCCATCTTCCCTAAATGCCTTTGCTGTAGCCTCTGGGTTGTTGTAATACCCCTTTTGAAATGTTAAAGAATATGCCATTAGCATGTGATTCACTCTTGCATCATGTTACCCATTGCCACATACCGATGCAGCCAAATGACTCTTAACCCACAGCTCCCCTGGTTGACCGACAGCAGCATCTACAAGATATTGGATTGATCAAAACACATACCGCATCATGGGGTGGTGCAACGCAACAGCGTCCCTCCAAAGATGATTTACCATTTCCATCCTCGTCAACCACGCGAAGGTTCTCTCGCGGCAATAAAAGTTTGCTTTCATATCCTGAAAACAGCACAACATGGGCATGAGCAAGAATGTTTTCCCCATGGTATGGTATTGATCAATGATTACCTTTATGAGTAGCATCAGCTGTTGACCTGGAAAGGACTGACCAGCTTTCAGTGGATCCATAATTGACATTGACGTCGGCATTGACACGAGCTTTTACAGCTTCCATCACAGCAACTGAGACATGCTGACCTCCAGAGAAGATACCCTTCAGCGACGACAAATCATACTTGTCTACCATTGAACTCTGTATAAAATCGTGCAACGTCCACAAGGATGCCAACGTATTCTCAACTTTGAAATTTTCGATCAAGGCACACATTTTCTCAAAGGAAAGAGGTATCTTGCACACAAGAGCACGTGCACGCTGTTGGATCCCTAAGTTGGTGATTGCATTAGCAGAAAGAAGGCTCATAGACCGACATGGCATATAGCTGTGTGCCTTGTTCGTAATCAGTGGACGTGAGGACACGAAGTCTATACGTGATGCAGCAACACCATGTCTATGCCAACAGACAAGAACGATCCTTAGCATAATAGCATGCATGATTCATGATACAAGCTTACTTACGAAATAGCAGCCAGCTTACATGGACCAGTTGTACCGGATGTAGAAATGGTGAATGCAATCTCTTTGGGATCCATCACCATGGCTTCAGCATCGCCACGTGGTTGCTCTATAAGCTTGTGAAGGGAGTGGATGCCATTCTTTGGATCATGTTTGGCGTCTTGGCCAATCACCACGATTTTAATGTCAGTCATCATGCACGCAGCAAGCGCATCTTTCATGGTTTCAAGGGTTGATGCATGCACCACTGCTAGTGTCGGGCAAGCTTGTTTGCAAAGGTCTGCCACTTCTTGGCTTGATTTACACTCAATAGGCAAACCTGCAGCAATCGCACCTGTATCCCGATCATGGTAAAAATAAGCCATGCTGCTCCTCGTTTTTGAAACATAGATGTGTTCATGTTACCTGCAGCCATGATACCATGCATGGCAACCATGAAATCGATCTTTTCGTTGGCATCAATGTAGGTAAGCTTTCAATAACGTCGTCATGTTTTCATCATACGTACATCGTTAGGAACATACAGAGTAATAAGGTCTCCTCGTTTCACATTGAAAGGTTGTTCATCTCGCAATACAGCTGAAAAAGTGAGAACATGTTGGCGTAGCTGCTGAAATGAATAGTGGCGTTCAGGATTGTCGCCATCAATCAAAAGGGGCTCCGTATCAGAGATAGCATAGCGTTGATCAGGGTTGTTTTCAAAGATAGCATGATAGTAGCTTTTCGTTTGGTTTGCTTGAACGGAGGGTCTCGAAGAAAGCATATTAAAAAAGGCGATAGTTATCCACTTTTCTCGGTATAGCCTTTTTATATACAACATGCAGTGGCCCAATATCCACTTTTTGCCCTTTCTTTTCCTTACGATGATCCATGCATGAATGCATGCATAACCTAAACCTAAGACGCTTTTTCCAAACACATCTATGCACCGGTACGACGATCTCATGGCTGGTTACTCCCTTAAAGCTTTACTTTGAGTTTGATGGGTAAAAAGATGATCTTGCAAGTGATTCTTATCAATGCCTTATGCGAGCTTAACATTGCTGAGTTATGAAAGAGATGATTTAGTGTACTGCTACTCAATCAAATGCAATGCATATTGGATAGTAACATGATGGAAAAAAGGAGCACATTGCATATACTTGTATTCCCCACGTACATGAAAGCGCATGCGATCGGGTGCGTCGCCTTTAGTCATCATGTTGAAACTTTCAGAAGAACATCAAAGTACCTCTGTCATTATGCGATGCTTTAACGACAATGAACGGCATGAACCTTTACATATCACAGTTGTCGAGAAAAATGCGTGTCATACCCGCACAAATTTTATGTAACAACATCGCATCTTTTTATATAAGTACGATCATGCATGTTATAAGGGTAACGATCCTACGAGTCGTTAGTTTAGCACGAGAGTAAAGACCTTGTTGCCGTGGAAAAAGGGGTAAATACAAGGATGTAAAGGATGTATGATGTATATGCATGCATTCTTTATGATAATCTTTAAACAAGGACATCCAACCTAAATGAGATCTACTACCACCTCATCTACGAATATTTGTATCACCTCCAGCATAATGAGAGAACGATGTTTATTCAACCTCGACTTCAGCTTGCAATCTAAGGCGCATACGATCTAACTTTTCCGATTTGGTCAAGGGAAGTCGCGCTAAGAATTTGGCACCACCATCAAGCTTCATGCCTTCTTGGGAGACGCGATGCATACGGAAAGCAAAAGCAGTAACACTAATGTGACAACCGAGGCATCTCAACAGCATAGCATTGCATCATGTCGTAGCATTCATCCCACCAGCAGCAAATCTACAGCCATGGCAACCAACACCGCCACCACCGTATCCAAGCAACAGCGACCTACCATGCTTCGTAAATCAAATGTGCCATCGATTCATATGAGACAATGTATCAAGATGTCTACTGCCATTCCATCATACCTTTGGGGACTTCATCACCAAGCGATCTGCTGCTTACAATCCATGCTTCCGTACCACCATGGATGGAGACAAGGTCGGTGCCAAGGCGCTGTTTGATGGTTTCTTGAACAGTGTCAGGCACATGTTGGCCACCACTCAAGATAAACTTCAAGGAGGACATGTCAAATCGATCCACCACAGAGCTACGTGCCAACTCGAGAAGCGTCCACATGAGAGCTGTGATTTGTTCGATCTTGTATTTCTCAATGACTGTACACAAGCGCTCGATCGGCAATGGGCTTTCGCAAATAAGGGTACGAACACGACGCTGGATTCGCACTTGAGTGCCAATGTTGTCTATGATGGTGCTGACAGGCTGACAGGCCAAAAAGTAGTGATCTGTATTGGACATGGGTGGACATGGGACAGTGGAAAGACGACGAATGGCAGCACGGTGTCTGGGAAAGAGAGGATGTAAGTAAATGAGGCATCATGCAAATGAGATACACCTACGAAATGGCTGCCAATTTTCGTGGACGGGTAGTGCCTTTCAATACATACCTATTCCACAAGATGTAGATCCATGCATAGTTGCCATATAGTCAACCAATACATATGGTAGATGTATGCTCCTTCATTGTCGAATTGAATAAAATTAGCAAGGGCTCAAAAGCCTTTATTCATAGTCATGTTGGTTCTTAGTTGATTTCTTCTTGTGCAATACCCCGTAGCTTATAACGATCAACCTTATCGCTCTTCGTTAAAGGTAACTTTTTTAGGCATTTCGCACCACCAGAGAGCTGCATTTCAGCTTGCGGAACTCGATTGTTGACATACGACACAAGCCCATCGGTAAACGCTTGTTGATCCTTCTCACTATTCCCCACAAGTACAACGTATGCTCTAGGCAACTCGTATCCAAGTCGTTTGCTGAATCCACCAACAACACAACATTCTTTTATATCATCGCTGTATTGATACTAGGGGAAAATCACTTGTTAGTAAGAGGCGCTTTCTCAACTTTCAGCTTACGCACGCAAAGATCTTCAAGAAATGCCGGCGGGAACTACATTAGCACGAGTGTTAGTTGTACATGCATCATGAGATCATGAAAGACACGATCATGCCATGTGACATTTACCGTTTTCCCTTTTGTTCTAATACGATCAGACATCCTGCCACGGTATCGATAATTGCCATCGTTATCGACAACAAAGTAATCACCGGTCCGATAATATCCATCTTCCCTAAATGCCTTTGCTGTAGCCTCTGGATTGTTGTAATACCTCTTTTGAAATGGTAAAGGATATACCATTAGCATGTGATTGACTCTTGCGCCTTGTTATCCATTATTGCCACATACCGATAGAGCCAAATGACTCTTAACCCATAACTCCCCTGGTTGACCGACAGCAGCATCTACAAGATATTGGATTGATCAAAACGCATATCAGATCATGGGGTGGTACAATGCAGCAGTATCCCTCCAAAGATGATTTACCATTTCCATCCTCGTCAACCACGCGAAGGTCCTCTCGTGGTAATAAAAGGTTGCCTTCACCCCCTGAAAACATCACAATATCAGCGTGAACATGGATACTTCTTTCCACGTGGTATGGTATTGGTCAATGATTACCTTTACGAGCAACATCATTTGTTGACTTGGAAAACACTGACCAGCTTTCGGTGGATCCATAAATGACAATGACATCGGCATTGATACGAGCTTTTACGGCTTCCATCACAGCATCGGGGACATGCTGACCTCCCGAGAGGATACCCTTCAGCGACGACAAATCATACTTGTCTACCACTGGGCTACGCGTAAAATCGAGCAACGTCCACAGGGCTGCCAACGTATGCTCAACTTTGAATTTCTCAATCAAGGCACATATTTTCTCAACGGAAAGAGGTGTCTTGCACACAAGAGTACGTGTACGCTGTTGGATCCCTAAGTTGGTGGTCGTATTACCAAGAATCAAACTTATAGGCTGACATGGCATATAGCTGTGTGCCTTGTTCGTAATCGGTGGACATGGTACGAAGCTTAGACGTAATGCAGCGACACCATGTCTATGCCAGCAGACGAGAACGATCCTTAGCATGATAGCATGCATGATTCATGATACAAGTTTACTTACGAAATAGCAGCCAGCTTACGTGGACCAGTTGTACCGGACGTACAAATTGTGAATGCACTCTCTTTGGGATCCATCACCATGGCTTCGGCATCACGACGTGGTTGCTCTATAAGCTTGTGAAGGGAGTGGATGCCATTTTTTGGATCATGCTTGGCATCTTGGCCAATCACCACAATTTGAATGTCAGTCATCATGCACGCAGCAAGCGCATCTATCATGGTTTCAAGGGTTGATGCATGCACCACTGCTAGTGTTGGACAGCCTTGTTTGCAAATGTCTGCCACTTCTTGACTTGATTTACACTCAATAGGCAAAACTGCAGCAATCGCGCCTGTATCCCGATCGTGGTTAAAATAAGCCATGCTGCTCCTCGTTTTTGAAACATGGATGTGTTCATGTTACCTGCAGCCATGATACCATGCATGGCAACCATAAAGTCGATCTTGTGTTGGCATCAATGTAGGTAAGCTTTCAATAACGACGTCCTGTTTTCATCATACGTACATCGTTAGGAGCATACAGAGTAATAAGGTCTCCTCGTTTCACATTGAAAGGTTGTTCATCTCGCAATACAGCTGAAAAGGTGAGAACATGTTGACGTAGCTGTTGAAATGAATAGTGGTGTTCAGGATTGTCGCCATCAATCAAAAGGGGCTCCGTATCAGAGATAGCATAGCGTTGATCAGGGTTGTTTTCAAAGATAGCATGATAGTAGCTTTTCGTTTGGTTTGCTTGAACGGAGGGTCTCGAAGAAAGCATTTTCAAAAAGGCGATAGTTATCCCCTTCTCTGGGTATAACCTTTTTATATACAACAAGCAGTGCTCAATGACCGCTTTTTGCTCTTCCTTCCCTTTATGATGATTCATGCATGCATGCATAAACAGCGCCTAAGATGTTTTCAAAACAAACCTATACACCGGTACGACGATCACACTACTGGTTGCACCCTTAAACCTTGACTTTGAGTTTGATGGGTAAAAAGATGATCTTGCAAGTGATTCTTATTAATGACTTATGCAAGCTTAACATTGCTGATGAAAAAGATGATCCAGGGTGCTACTCAATCAAATGCAATGCATATTGGATAGCATCATGATGGAAAAAAAGGAGCTCATTGCATGTTCCCATGCGTAAGTTCAGCTGCATGTGAAACAAAATGACTTACCATATACCTGTAAGCCCCACGTACATGAAAGGACATGCGATCGGGTGTGTCTTTTTTGAGCATCATTTTGAATATCACTTTCGGAAGGGGGCTGAGATACCTTTGTCACTGTGCGATCCTTTAATACGATAGTGAACGGCATGAACATCTTCACACAGTTATCGAGAAAAAGGTGCGTGTCATACCCGCACAAATTCTAACAACATCACATCATCTTGTTATATAAGTATGACCATGAGCTGCATGTTTTAAGGGTGGTGATCCTATTGACCTTTATTATAGCACGAGAATAAAGAAATCCTGCTGCTATGGAAAAAGGGGTAAATACAAAGACGCAAAGGATGTATGATGTATGTATGCATTCATTATGATGATGTTTAAACAAGGACACCCCACCTAAATGAGATCTACTACCACCTCATCTACGAATATTTGTATCACCTCCAGCGTAACGAGAAAGAGATGTTTATTCAACCTCGACTTCAGCTTGCAATCTAAGACCCATACGATCTAACTTTTCCGATTTGGTCAAGGGAAGTCGCGCTAAGAATTTGGCACCACCTTCGAGCTTCATATCTTCTTGGGAGACGCTGCTGTTGATGTAGGATTTTAATCCCTCCAAGAACTCATCCATTTGTTGTTCACTCAAGCCGTGATCCTCCACCAGCACAATGTATGCTCTCGGTTGCTCAAAACCATTTTGCTTACTGTACGCGCCAACTACGCAGCATTCCTTAATCTTGTCGCTGTATTGATGCTATACAGTTGCTGGTGAATACGCTTGATCAAACAAGGACAAAGAGCGCAATACTTACGCAAAGATCTTCAAGAAGCATGGGTGGGAACTATATGAAAGGAAGGATTAGTTGAGCTGCACATGATGGGTTCTTTGTTGATCACTCACGGTCTTGTTCTTTGCACGGATACGATCAGAATTTCTGCCGCAATATCGTAGATTGCCAAACTTGTCCATAGTAAAGTAATCGCCTGTGTGATAATAGCCATCCTTGCCAAAAGCCTTGGCTGATACATCCGGTCTGTTGTAATACATCTGTAGCCCATGGTATATTCACATTGTCAATCCTGGGACTTTTTCCATCCAATTTTACACATACCGATGCAGTCATTGGGCCCTTTACAAGAAGTTCTCCAGGTTCATGGGGTTCCACATCTAAGATAATGATTAACCTTAGCACAAAACAGGAGCATCTCATCAACATACCTTTTCCATCATCATCGACTACTCGGACCTCGTATCCAGGGGTGATCTTACCCTCGCATTCTAGGAGACGCGATGTGAGATGATTGTATACAAAATGTCTACTACCATTCCATCATACCTTTTGGAACCTCGTCACCAAGGGATTTGCTGCTTACAATCCATGCTTCCGTACCACCATAGATAGAGACGAGGTCGGTGCCAAGGCGCTGTTTGATGGTTTCTCGAACGGTATCAGGCACATGTTGGCCACCACTCAAGATAAACTTCAAGGAGGACATGTCAAATCGATCCACCACAGAGCTACGTGCCAACTCGAGAAGCGTCCACATGAGAGCTGTGATTTGTTCGATCTTGTATTTCTCAATGACGGTACACAAGCGCTCGATCGGCAATGGGCTTTCGCAAATAAGGGTACGAACACGACGTTGGATTCTCACTTGAGTGCCAATGTTGCCAATGATGGCGCTGACAGGCTGACAGGCCAAAAAGTAGTGATCTGTATTGGACATGGGTGGACATGGGACAGTGGAAAGGCGACGAATGGCGGCACGGTGTCTGGGAAAGGGTGGATGTAAGTGAATGATGCATCATGCAGCAAATGAGATACACCTACGAAATGGCTGCCAATTTTCGTGGACCGGTGGTACCTGATGTGCAGAAAGTGCATGCAATGTCTTCAGGATCCATCTCCATGGCCTTGCCATCACGTGGTTCTTCAACAAGCTTCTGGAATGAGTATAGGTTGTTCTCTGGATCATGCACAGCATCCTGGCCGATGATAATAAGCTTGATGTTGCTCATGTTGCATTTCACAAGAGCCTCTTTCATGGTTTCAAGTACAGAAAAATGAGTCAATGCCACAACGGGACATGCTTGCTTGCAAATATCAGCTACTTCTTGGCTTTCATGACATTCGATAGGAACAACCACAGAGATAGCACCTACATTCAAGTAAACATCTCTCCTTTCAATACCTATTCCACAAGATGGCTATGCATAACGTCATCCCATACCTGCAGCCATAGATCCATGCATAGCAGCCATATAGTCAACCTATACCCATACACGTTATCAATAAAATACTTGAATGATAAAATCAAGTCGTCATGATTCTTACATCGTTGGGTGCGTACAAGGTGACAACATCTTGACGCTTCACATTGAATTCTTCTCGTAAAATGGTGGAGAAAGTAAGCACATCCCGACGCAGTCGTTCAAAGGTATAATGTTGTCCGATGTTCACGCCACTGACTAGCAAGGGCTCATTCTCAGGAATCGAATCAGGGTATGTAATTCCAGGCTCAAAGATAGCATGGTAATAGCTTGGAGCCGACAACGGGCTTTCATGGGTGATGGTAGTGGGTGTGACAGCAGGCATTTGTCGAAATGATCAAAACGAGGTGATCGAGCTTTCTCGTACCATCATTCGCTCTTATATATATGTATACCTTTCTCCTCATGATGCGCTACGGTCTTGTTGCATGTAAGGTGGAGAATAAAAAAAGAACCAAAAATGGGAATAATAGCCAGCGGGTTAGCTAGGCACCCATAACTCTAAATTACGCTTACGCTACTTCTCGTGCTACAGTACTACTACGAGAACAGGGCCCATCATCGTTCAGCTTGTATAGCATGCATCCGATACAGTAGTATGTGTAAAGGTTTCCCACGGAGAATATCGGCCATGGCCGTTGCCCTGTATCACTTGGTCATAAAGAACCGGGAAAACAAATGCTAAGCTATTCGATAGATCAGTCAAATGGTGCTCCTTGTGTTGCTGAGATGATTTTACCCAGCACATAGAGCACATCTCTAGATCCAATTCCTTTTTTACAATACAACTTTGTTAAAGAAGGAAAATCTCGTTACCAATGATGCATCTAAGATTCATCATACGCCATCAATGTTTTTAATCAAGCTTGTAGCATTAACATGTTAGATCTTTGATATCATGTTACGGATCACTGCTTCCCCCCATCAATGTAGCCCATAAACATTGCCTACATACACAGCTGAAGCTTTGATCCTATGATGCCATGCACCTGATCTCTTTGTTGATGCATTCATTGTCCTCATTACTATAGTGGTAATACAATCCCATCTATTATTGGCAGCACACAATAATGAATCCAGCCCACATCATGTTATCAAGATTTCTGCCTGCTTTTCTTTCATCTCAGCTTGATCACAAAGAAACAGCCTTAATCTTGTTACTCTCAGTCAACTGTAAACTCACTATGGACAAGCCTTGGCACCACCTGTATACAGCATCTCCGATTACAAGCGGTCATCACGGCTATTGATAAGTGATACTATGCCTTGAAAAGAACAACATCCGATGCTAGCAAACTACTTGATTTATAGCTCCATGTTTGGCAAATCGTCCCAGCATGATGCGAAGCCCTCTTATGGCGTCATTACAAGAGCTACCTCCTACCGGTGCACATTCCTTGATGTACGCACTTACACAAAGACGTTCGAGTAACATTGTCGGAAAACTATCTTTCTCATTTTAGTTCGATTATGCTCACGTCAAAACGTTTCATCTGCAATCATGGGTGATCTTCCTTCGTTCAGTGTTACTACCTTGCTACTATTTTTCTCTTTACTCAACATCGGTCGGATAGCATGGTATAATGATGTCCGCGTCATTCACGCAAAAGGTAGGTGCTTGCGTGACTCGAGTAAATTGGGACAACAAGTGAATGGTGGCACATTGAGCGTCAATCATTTTTGCATTATCCCGCTCTGTAGTTCATATAAACTTGCACATCCGACACCAAATTTCGGGCCCATGATCCGAAGGGGTTGGAAAGTCTTGCCATCAAGCAACAATGAATCTACGCAACAAGGTAATAAGCATCGCATGCATCAATGGCATACAATACAACAGCTTCTTGTTCAACCGATGCGCATGGAATGGATGTAACATGTTCTTTCACATTCTGAAAATCGAAAACAAAACATCAGCAACGTTACACGGACGCGCACGAGCACATGTCAGATCCTCCATCCACCCATTTTCCCCGACAGCTCTCGAGCCAACACAGGCACGCTTGTGAAAAATGGATGATGATGGAAGATAATCCATAAAATTGGACAGCTGAGCCATCTTCCCATATGCATCACGATATTGTGTTATGCTGACGTTGCTAACACACACATGCCGGAACAATCACATACATGAGGAGAAATTGGCATGATCCTCCCCTTCATCTTTTGGCAAACCAGTGCGCTGGTTGAGAGCCGGCATAACGCTCCTGTAGCATAGTTTGATCATTAGATTCTTGCATGCATGAATAAAGTAGGCGCACAATTATGCGGCGCAAATAGATTAACCTTGTCTTTGCTCACGAGATGGTAAAGTTTATTACATGTGCATTGTAATGCGGTTAAATACTCATCCATTAATGCTTGCTAAGGGGGGCAGCAATCAAGAGAATCATTGCACCTGCATCAAAGTTGGTATTGGATTCAACGAATGCGTTTGTAACAAAAGAACAAAAGAAGCATCTCCATACGATGATGTAAATGATCCGATCTCGCTCCCCAACTACATTCAACTTTCTATTCCCCCTTTCAATCCAGAGCCCAACCAAGTGATCCACATCTTGTCCCTATGATCTGATAGTACGATACCCTTCTAAATAATGTGTTGGATCCAATTTCATTCAATGAATAAGTGGAAGAATAGGACATGGTAGTGTGGATGTTCATAATGTATGTATGACAAAGGTGCCGTATTGAAAAATGAATAAGGTATGGGTGAATCACATAGAAGTAACAGGGGATAACTGTGTCGTTGTATTCTTGGTTGCTGTCAGCATAAGCATCTTCATCCATGATTGCAAAAGAGCGTTTGAATGCATTGATTCGAGTACTCCAATATCATCCATGACTGTAAACACCTTTTGTCTATTCCATCCAATCCATCATCATCCTCAGCCATTTCCACGTGACATGATCCATCCTTCCTGCTGACAACGCGACAAGTAACCAAAGCAACATTCCAGGATATCTCATCACCGCTCTTGATTGCATCCATCCATCAAATCCAATATGTTGGTTGCAAAGAGCCATGGGATCGCTACTGGTATGCTCCCTTTTCCATCCGGCTGTTGGTCAATCCCTTCTTGGTCATTTTCATTGCCACTCAACCAGGCGAAGATTGCTCGTATTGCAGCGTGCTTGATAGCTAATATGGCATCATCCATTGGCATCCGTATGTATCAAAGCAAGTTGCTGCATGTAAATAAAGCTGCTCCTGTACAAGGGCTATCTGCTGTGGACGTAAACAAGGCTGCAAGGCAGGATGCTGCAAGCAAAGGGTGCTGTTTGAGACTGAAGTAAAGGCATGCCTAATAGCGCTTGGTGTTCACGTTTGGTTGTGGCAGAGGAGTGTACAAGAGAGCGTGTGTTGTAGTAGAGTGACAAGAATGTGAATGCCGTTTGAGACAATGGAGTGAATAGCAAGTGCTGGAATGAATGCCGTTGCGTTTGATCGTGGCAGATGAGTGTGCTGGACTGTGTGTAGTATCAAACAGCAAGGCGTGTTGGCGTGCGTGCACATGCCATGGACTTGTTCATTCAGTCAAAAGCAATCGGATCAAGGAAGTTGTAGGGTTGACATGATGGGTTGAAGCAGGACAATTGTTTGCAGGTGGTAGTTGTATACTTGAATGGGGCAACAGTTGAGAATGGGAGGAAGAGACAAGAAGTTGTGGGAGTGGAAGGAGTGGAAATTAAATAGGCCGGACACCTCTTGTATAAATGCATGAACACACTCTACATCAATCCTTGATATCGAGTTTGCATCTCTCGATCCTGAAACTTTCACACAAGATGCTCTTGGATATGATGATCACGACGTCCTAAAAAAGACCTCATGCTTCATTATGAAGAGTTCGAACGCGGGACGGCCCAAATGTAGGAGACATGGTGAATGGATGGGAACACAAGAGCGGGCGGTCCACCGCGCCGAAGTTGCCCACATTGAACTTGAAAATAGGTCATAAGGTGCTCTTGGGGACGCTGATCAAGTTTATTTAATAAAAACCTCATGGTCCATTACGACAATTTTAAATGGGAGCGTCCAAATGTTGGAGAGTCGGGGACATTCGCAGGGTCTGCGATTACAAAAATTAACAATTCTTTGTTTGAGCGTAACTCAACCAAATCCCCACGGATCAAGAAAGTTGAATGATGGAAATGTTGAGCTGGAGCAGGACAATCGTCCGTATGCAATGGGTTGGGTAAAAAAGGTGATGGGATGAATGGGCTAGTAGCTGGCATTTATGAACTATTCCTGAGTAGCGTACAAGTTTCATGCATCGCCTGTGCTGGCTGATTCAGTTACACGAACACGTCCCTCTGCATCTTTGGTTCTATCGGGATCTATCTACTTTACAATGAACAAAGACCTCTTTTCATATGGCATCACGTTTAAAACATAAAGGTGCCTGTATCTCCAAACTTTACAATCAAACGTGGGCTCTTTAATAGATCAACGTGCTCGTCGGGGTCAAAGGAATCTTGTGTCAAAGTATGAAGTTCATCGTGGGCAATCCCAGATTCCGCAATGTCGCTACCAGCCAAACTGGATCCGGGGCTCAACCTCTTTCAACGACGACCAAAAAATATTTTTTGGGCTGTTTGCGACATTGAACGCGAAACTTTCACACAAGGTGCTGTTGGCCAAGCCAAGCCCATTGCTGTAATAAAAACCCCACGTTTCATTGTAAATTTTGGAGATACAGGCACCTTTATGTTTGTAAGCGTGATGCTATATGAAGAGTGGTCTTTGTTTAAAGTGAAGTAGCTAGACCCTGACAGAGCAAAAGATGCAGAGAGTCGTGTTGTGTAACACAGCTACGTTTGCATGAATGAAAGGGCCAATGTATAATTACTTTATGGATCATCTAGGAACAGGCATGTATTGCTAGCTAACGGCCACTTTTATCCAATCATCATTGTTGCGAGATCCACTGCATGGGAACGATGCCCCTGCTCTAGACATTCATTTCCATGATTAAAGTAGGTTGATCCGAGCTGATTTGACTGAGCTGTGGTCAAAGAGAGATTACATCACTCTGGACATAAAGCACGCTCGATGTAGCTCAACCGATGTAATCTTGTGTGAGCGTAACTCAACCAAATCAGCTCGGATCAACCTACTTTAATCATGGAAATGAATGTCTAAAGCAGGAGCATCGTCCACCTACAATAGAATGCACAAAAATTGGGAATGCACCAACGTGGCTATTAGCTGCCAATGTATGACATAAAAGTGAGGGTTGCGTACCTATCATGCATTGTCCCTGAAGTCCAGACTTCTTAGCTGAGTTACCCAAAGAGGTCCTTCTGCATCTTTTGCTCTGCCAGGGTCCACCTACTTGACAATGAACAAAGACCACTCTTCATATAGCATCATGCTTACAAACATAAAGGTGCCTGTATCTCCGAACTTTACAATGAAACGTGGGGTTTTTATTAGAGCAATGGGCTCGGCTTGGCCAACAGCACCTTGTGTAAAAGTTTCACGATCAAGCTTGCCAATCCCAGATTTCGCAATGTCGCTACAACCCAAACTGGATCTGGGGGTCGACCTCTTCGACGACGACGACCAAAAAAATATTTTTTGGGCTGTTTGCGATATTGAACGCGAAACTTTCACACAAGGTGCTGTTGGCCAAGCCGAGCCCATTGCTCTAATAAAAACCCCACGTTTCATTGTAAAGTTTGGAGATACAGGCGTCTTTATGTTTTACCTATGCTGTAAGCGTGATGGAGTTGCTTTTTCCTAGTGGATGGTGCCGGCTGCATTAACGGAAAGATAGAGAGCTGAGTGAAATGACACGTGGTGGTGACACAAACACGTCCTTGATAGGTTGCTGCATAAATGGATGATGATGATGATGATAGCCTTTTGTGAACGTACGTGAGTAAACCACATCCAACAATGAAGATCTATATTGTATGTTTTTGGCAATAATGGCTCGACATTGCATAAGGCCCGAAGCCACTCTTTTTGCCCACAGCAAGATATATTCATCCTGAAACTCAATGGAGGATCATGGTCAATCCCACTCTTCATTGTATCGTAAAAGATGTATACTTCGTACATGACCGAGAACGGAACGAATTTATTCCATCTACCCTATCATTTACAAGCAAGAAGGGAATACGCTAGCTAAGTGGAAGTGGATTCAACAATGACTCTAGCTACTTCTCCATCATGTCGTTATCGTCTGCGTCTTCTTGTAATCGCCATCACACAAAGGATAAGGCCAACCTGGAGAGATCCAATACCACCACTTACCCAATGACTTGACGGCTTGTATGTACCAAAGAAAGAAACCCTGTGGTCCTCTTGGGCGATGATCACCCTTGTGTGTCAGGAGCTCCATTACACATCCTCTTCTCCACATTGCCTAACAAATGGATTGTACCAAGAGTTGGCAGGCTAGTGCCATTGAGGTCCCTCTTGAAGTGGTCATCGCGGCAACCCCTTTGAAGGCTTTGCACAGCAAGTAGGTTAAAGCCGAAGAGCAGAACAAAAAGTCCCTGGCACCCTCCACAAGGAAAGGTGGTTGACTGCAAATCCCACATGCAACCATGTACTTGAAAAAACACAAGCACACAGGACATGGAACCGATGGCACCTCAAGCGGGGGGAGATGAAACACCAGTGCAGAGAACAAGAATGCCAAACGTACCCCTCATCCACCAAGCATAACGTGAGAGAGCTCTGGGTGCAAGAGAACCACAAGGATAACTTCCTTTGACAAGCTGAGGAAAAGTCGCTTGTTTGGCCAGGAGAAGATACACATTGATTGTCCTTATGGGCCCCACCCTATGACCCGATTGAACCGACACGAATCCGTTTCCCCTTCGATGATCCAGTCTCACGCTTCCCAGTTGGACCAAGCTTGTTGACGATCTCGAATAGGCCAAAAGACCACTTGCGATCATATGCGCCGCACCTACTGCGTGAAGCCATAGCCATACGTGCATCTTGCCGCTGGGGGGATACCAGAACGATACTGGGGCGAGGGAGTGTCCTTGGAACAATACGAGCCAAAAGGTGGAAGATTCAATAACATGCAATCCCCATAGCCAACTTTTCCCAGTCAATGGTCGTGTAGTCTAAAGTAGACAATGAGTGAGAGATTGCCATAATAGAACAAGCCCAACATACCTCTTGAGATGCCAATTGTAAACAGGTTCCAAATAAAGAGCACCCTATTGCCACCCAATACAACCAAGTGAAACAACGTAGTTGTACCGATCTTCCACTCTAACTTACCTGTTTACACTTCCCACAAGTGGTCAACATTGACAATGGCCATGAACGGTCTTGATCAGGGGAAAGCGAGTTGGTTTTGGTTGAGATCAACCGTTGCCTTGGCTACGCAACGCTGCTGTATGAGACGGGTGTAAACCCCGTCACACTTTTTACTGCCCAGCCATTTTAACAGCACGTGATAGTCGTTGCCATGGATAGTAGCAAACGGTTTAAGGCATTGTAGGTATGTAACTTTTGGGTAGGTGCATCTTCCAGGAGCTGAAACAAGAGTATGTGGTCTGTGCACGGCTACTTTTTATTTCCGAGGGCACGAGTACCTCCACTTTTGACTTCCCGAAGATCGTTTTTGGTGTCACACTGTTCCTCTAAAGAAGGCATGATCTACTATTGCTTTTACTAAAGGACCGAGCAGCTAGTGATTTGTGGTAGCAGATGGGTGGCATTGTTTGATGATGAAGATGAGGGTTGCCACCTTGTTTATCACTAAAAATTGATTCATGTACCGACGACAACAATCAATCCTACAAAGATTCTTTGTGAGGCCTTTTCAATCTATCAGCCCATCACTCTTTCACCATTTTTGTGGTCACAGAAATACCCACGCCCACCATGCATGTATAAACTAGGGATGTTGTCGCCTACTATCATACTCCCATACACCTCTTTTTTTTTCCCATTTTACCTCTCTTTTGATTGCTGACACCTTCAAAGCCTAAGTTGATGTGGTGAGTACATACCATGATGGCACGTTGATGGCCTTATTTTGTGGGCGTTTCATGGACTCATTTATGATGACCTTATGTAGCTTTTCATTGTTATCCTATTTTCATTACCTTTATTACGGTAAAGCCTGACTACCTTGCTTATGGGCACTACCTCCTGTGGTACATGTGCAAAGGTGGATTAGCTGGCACATCACAGCCCGCATGTGGGTGACATGTATGTATGGCGGCTTCCCACCTCTCCCGTAAACGCCATGGTGTCATGACCGAATTGAATTATGAAGCACCTATTATTACGACTGATGGCCTGTCATCAGCCAAAAGCCAAACCTTGAATATAGTGTCGGTCTTGGAGAAGCGAAGATCAGACAGCGATCCGGTGCTCGTTACAGCCTTTGCGTACAAGATATCTTGAGAAGGTTGATGGCCTTTGTGGAAATGCCATTGATGTCAGCAAGTTGGATGGTGCAATAGCATTCCAAATCCATGGTACGTAAAGAAGAGGTGGCATACTCCTGTAATGCTGACAAGTCCCTTTCGTTTTAGGCATGCACATAACCTTTCCTCATGAGACTGACAGCCGCTGGATTATACACATTCATCGAGATCGCGCACATACAATTTGCTGATAGCGTAGAAAATTTGCCTTCATTTTGTACCATCGTCAACATCCAAAAGCTGCTGGCTATCAACCATATTTTCTGGACTTATTGCAAGCAATGTGATCAACCCGAGGAAATCGAAGCCAATTACGCCCAAACATTGGCAACGATGATTGTCATCATCATTGAAAACAGAACTCTTCTCGGGATTGTGTGCTTCAATGCACCACATTGTTACCATTGTTGTCAATAATGCCCACATTGTAATCACCTTATTCATCCCATTCAATAAGCATTGTATATGATAGATGATGAATACGCTTGTTTTTACTGTATAATCCAATACATCTTGTTTACTCATAAGATGAGAAAAAGCATACGTGCCCAAAAAGTCCTGCAGCATACATTCAACGATCCAACGAGCGCGCGTTTATTTTGATCTAACATACATAAAATGACATGCTTTATCTAATCCTTGACAGGCAACACCCATAACGAGTAGATTCTTCTATTGCTCCATCGCCAGTATCTCATCCCTTTCAGCGTTGGTCATGGGTGCCAATATAATGATGCTTGCAGCTGTCAATAAAAGGCCGAGCACAAACGATAGCCATTCGATGTTATCTTGATAAGGAGGCAGCATGGTGGCGATCCAATATGAAAAGACACAACGTCGAGATGTGTGTGTATGTGTGTATGTAGGCTACCCGTTTTATATTGGGATGTGCTGTCCTCCACACTTGGTCCGTAAAGGGGGTTGCATCAAATTGATCGCCACATTCACTCTCCCTCTTTGCCACTGCCACCCACATGTCCGATATTGACTGGGAAGACTTGTTTGGCGTATCCGATGACAACGACCATGACAACGACGACGCCAACGGTATCCCGGGATTGAAGTTGGCAAAGAATGCCTTGACCCATGAGCAGCAGATGCAGCTTGTATATGCGATTGCCGAAGCCGATTACTTTCAGGGAGGCAAACTCGATCAGGCAATGTGCTTTGGTGACCTTGGTCCTTTTGAGTGGGTGGAGCCGTGGATTAGAGACGAGTATCCCAACTTGATGCCATCACGTATTCTGGAACGAGCATGTTTGTTTGATCAAGCCATTATCAATCTTTATCACAAAGGTAAGTAAAAAAGGGGGAGGAGGAAGGAAGGAAGGAAGGAAGGGGGTTGTACTTTCAAGGAGGAAGGTTGATCTCTAATATCAAGGCTAGGACAAGGGATCAAATCACACGTCGATCTAATGCGGTAACACACACACACAAACACATCCTTGTACAGTATGTATCATTCATGATCCTAACCTTTATAGATTTGATGATGGCATTGTAATCATATCACTGCTTTCATCATGCGTGATGGTGATGAAGCCTGTCGACCCAGCAACATTGCAACAACGAGGTGCTATTCCTATTCTTCTTCGTCCTGGCGATGTATTGGCTCTATCGGGTGCAGCACGATATGATTGGGAACATGGTATTGAAGAGCGGATGGCAGACGAGGTAGATGGCGAATGGATAGAACGTGGTACCAGGATCAGTGTCACTCTTCGAAAGCTTTTAGTGAAATAAAACATGGTTGTTTATTACTCGTTTCCAATGGTGGATAAGTGATGGATTACTACAGTAGAAGGAAACAGTGAACCCATTTGAAGACTATGCTGAGATTCTTCTCGCATAAAGGAGCCCGCCCCCTTCTTTTATTTGTACCATGTCAGACGACCGAGAACACTATGGCAACCTCTTCCCTTCCGACGACGAAGGCAACTCTTCAGACAACACAATTGAACAACATGCTCCTTCTGGCTATATGGATCTCGATGAAGACTTGAGAGACGAGGAAGAGGAGGAGGAAGAAGAAGACGTGATCGACGATGAAGGTCATCGACTCGACGATTCAGCACGCGAAAAGAACGCCATGCAAATCTATACTGAAACACATCCCGATCTTGAGCAAAAGTCGTCTGGGGGTCGTGAGATTGCCGAACATGAAGCTATTTGGTCCGTATCCACCTATCGTGAGGATTGGGGTGTCGAGAAACTACGCGACAATAATCCATTGACCTATTGGCAGTAAGTGTGTACGTGTCTTTGTCCATGAATGAACAGTGCATTGATATCATGCTGTGTATAGATCCAATTGCCCGAATCCAAAAGCACCCCACACAGTAGACTTGTATTTCCATCACGCTACTTTCATCAAGGTATGGATGTTATGCACGTTGCTAGGACAACGACGAGGGTATGTGATCTCACCACTGATGATGGCTATGCTCCTGCTAGCAAGTATCGATTTTCATTGATTTCTATCAAGATGAGAGCTATACCCCAAAGCATATTTCAATTCGTGGAGGAATCACTTATCGGGATTTGCATGTGAGTAATCAATCAGCTTGCATGATACCATGATCCACACGCTAATGCTTTAAGATATCCATAGGAAATCACGTCATTAGAATGCGAAGGAACGGTTGGATGGCAAAATGCGGATCTTGTGGAAGCTACTGGGTAACGTATTCAGGATCGATGTGATGGATCCATGGATATTGATCATGCGAGCGACATTAGGGAGCCTGTACGATTGTTCCATCTGCAGATTGCAATCCTCAATACACACCTGAATGGACGAGACACCCATATCCGCCAACTCAAAGTTTACTCGGTTCTTCCGTAAGTACATCATGCTGTGATGATCCACTAAGTTCTAATATGGATGTATCATTAGGCAATATTTGACCCAAAAACCAGTACCTGAAAGGATACGTGGCCTGCGATAATATCATTACAGCTTGTTTTTCAACTTTTTTGCATTTATCATCATTACATTAAACATCTTCTAATACTCTATACAATGCTTGCTTGCTTCTTCTCCTCGATTTCCTCGTTGTCAAGTGTTCGGTTCGTATCATCCTGCTTGAGATCAATGTCTTCTTGTGGATCAGGTGCCGTGGTTGGTTTTTCTTGTTGAGCTGTCGAGGATTGAGGTGGTTTGTTGGCACCATATTTAACGTTCTTGGCGCACAATGCACAAATGACAGCGATACCAGCGACGACCAATGGGAGCGTAAACACTTTATGCAAGGCTGCCATGTACAAATGAATGACGGGTTGCTGGTACTCGGATGGCATGTCTCGTATATACAAATAATTAGAGTCAGCACCATACTTGGCAGCAATACTCAATATCGAAGGATCAAGGCTGCTGAATTCTTCCTTGAGGAATTCTCGAAACAACGTATCACAAATCGCCACCCCCTGAATAATAGAAAGGCATGTGATGAGCTTCTTGCATAATAAACCATCATTATTGTGTTGCTAGCAACGACTTACAATTGCGCATGACAACATCATAAAGAATTGATTCAGGCTTGTTGCAACAGCAATGTACTTTTTGGGAGCACATGTTTGAACGCCAAATAGACAATTCTGTTGCGAGAGACCAAATGAAAAACCTATTACATCATGCAGCTGAGTAAATATACATGTTCCTGAATCAAAATGGCTGCCGTATGAAATTCAACATACCACACAGCATGATATAGCACGCTTGTTGGCCCCAATTACTGTATTCGTTGACTGTGTAAAAGAGACCGAATCCAACGATGTTGCAAATGGCACCAATCACGATATAGAACTTGACATAGGGAAATTTGTTTAGCATCATGCCGCTTGATACGGATGAAACAATGAGACAACTCATATAGGGCACCAGTCTTACACCCGATTCAATACTGCCCGCTCCAAAAACAGCTTGGAACATGATGGGGCCATAGTACAATGTGCTGACGACTTTTTGGAGACAATGAATACGACACGCCTGGGGGTTACACATGTTCGGAGCAATCACTTACATCCAAGGCCAAAGCAAAAGACATACATGTAAAAGATTGCGACAGATCGGTTTAACAGGAGATCAGGGGGGACCACCTTGTTGGATGCGTAAACATAATTTAGTCGTTTTCAATGAAAGGTATATGGTAAAGTGATCCTACCGGTTCTTTTGCTACACGAGTTTCGACAATGGCCAATACAATGAAAGCGACACCAGCGGCAACAAACGGCCCGATAGAATGGCCGCTACCCCACCTGATCTCAATGTGAGCATGCGGCATGATTCAAATTGGTGGGTGATGATGGCACACACTTACCCATACATTTTACCCCAACTAAGTGCAAGGAGCAGGCAACATACAAAGCCAATCACAAGTAATGTGCCCATAATATCGATACGTTTCATCTTAGCTTTCATGGAGACACCTTTGAGATCCACGGTTTCTTTGAGGAGGATTAGGTCCAAAGTAAAGGCCACACCACCCACGATGACATTGAACCAAAAATCCCATCTCCAGCTTAGTCGATCCACGAAGACACCACCTACATAGGAATTCAAATAGAATGTTGATATATGGAACATGTCTCTTTTTATTACCAACCAGCACTCGTTTTTTTATCCAAGAGGGTGTGCGTGTGTGTGTGTGTGTGGGAAATGTATGTATACATCTCTAATAAAAAGGTCACTTACCAATCAACGTGCCAACAACATTTGCCAAACCAAAGTTGACAACAAGTGCGGATTGAAAACGTGGTCGTATCTTGATAGGTGCTAGATCGACGACAAGTACAAATGACATGGCCATATTGCATCCCGCTCCTAAGCCTTGGATGGTACGTCCGGCAATGATACCGGGCATGCTTGGTGTCAGGGCACTTACCAATGACCCGCCCACAAAAAGGAATAGCCCAAAAAGCAAAATGGGTTTCCTAATGAATGAAAAATGAGCGATGGCGTCTTTGTTTATTGATAGGTGTTTAGAGGTATACCTGCCAAAGATATCAGAGAACTTTTTGGTGGTATGAGTAAGTAAGTATGATATTGATATGGGTTAAAGTAGGGTGTACAGTACCTTGCCAGCCAGAGCCTGGCATGTCACAAATGCTAAGAGGTATGCAGTGGCAATCCATGCTTGTTGATCTGGTGATCCAAGGTCGGTGGCTATAATAGTCATCGCCGGTGCGATTACTGTAGTATTCAGTGCCGTTACAAACATGCCGAGCATGATGCCAAATATAACGGAAAAACGTCGTATCAGATCCCAATGTTCCTTGATAGCTTCCATGGTTGCATTGAGAAGAGAGTTAAAAGAAAGACAAATCGATTTAAAAAGATGAGTGTTCGTGCGAATCTTATTTTATAGGTACGGCGCACATTAGCCGAAACGAATATAGAAGGCGGGCAAAGGAACAAGCTGTGATCCGCAAGCGGCATGAAAATAGGCAAAAGTATCAGGGTAAGCTTTGTAAACATGTATGGGGTTGCTATGGGGAAAAGATTCTCCTTTCAGTCAGCTTGATCCTCACGGCATTGGGATGTTCACACAACCAACGCCTCTCTTTTCATTGTTCATCACTACCACCACAACAACGCCATCTTTCATTGATCCCCCTCCTCATTCTATGCTTCCAGCCACCATGACTAATAACAGTCAGTGCATTTCATACGCGATGTACGAGCCCGTGGATGATATTTGCTATATCCCAGATCTAGCAGCTTGAGTTGGTGAAACAAGCAAAGGCTCGGAGAACGATTCTAGATATATACATGATCCAGATCACAGGCACCTTTTACATTTCTGTTATGTAGGTCCCCCGCTATACTATGGTAATCGTCATTATGGAGTAGATTGGTTGTTAGCAGTAATGCTTCCTATTGCTGCTGCTGGAGGTTGCTCACTGAACTTTGTACGTGAATGATCTCATGCCATGTTAACGTTGACTGATTGGGAAGCTCGACGTGGTACAAGGATTTATTCATGCTATGTAAGCGGTAATGATGGTTCATTGTGTGGGAAAGCCCCATTGTTTTATTTGTTGTTGCTGGTGATATGAAAAGGGATTTTCTCTCTCAGTTTCATGCACATCATTATTCATGTAACTTGAATCGAACTTTCTGGTTTGGATCATAAATAAAGAATCAAAGTGTACACATGTAAAGCTCTTTATCATACAAACTACCAAGTCTCGGGGAGAGTGGAGTGGATAAGGGAGGATGGTGTGTGGTTAGCTAGAATGGATGGGCTATTTGATACATGTTGGTGGTGGTTGTGGTGGTGGATGATGTGCCTCGAAACACGTTTCAAATACAGGCTGGGTATCTCTTTCATCTATCTTTTTTGACATGGGCGACCGTATCCATACAGCTATTCTACAATTCCTACTGACACACGGCTACAAGGAAACACAAGAAGCATTCGTCAAAGAGGCCGGCGAGTTCATTGACTTCGATTCAGTGGAAGATGTACCTCCTCTTGATGGCACCTTCAGCGATGCTCTCAATCAGGTCACGCGTAATGTCGCATCGATGAACTTGGAAAGGTGAGGGGGGAAAAGTTATTGCATGGCGTGTGATGGAGAACGTTGACATGGATAATACGTACATAGACAAGAAGACTTTGAAGATGCTGACGGCGACCACTATTCGACACTTGTTGAACAATATGGGACCATCCATGCGGCGAATGTTCTAGCAGTTGCAGTGGATCCACACTCGCGTTGCATTGCCACCAGCTCTACCGATCGCACAGTCAAACTTACCAATAGCACCACCGGCATCACTGATCGAGAATATCGACATCATCAAGCACCTGTTTTGAGCATTGCATTTCATCCATCTCAAGCCAACCTTATGCTTACCACATCCATGGATGGCACTGCTGTGCTAGCCGATACCAGCAAATCCGATGATATGGATCCATCTATAGGCGTCGTGCAGCGTTTCAAGGACCATCAAAAGTACATTGTGCAAGGATTATTCTCACCTGTGGATGGCAAGTACATGGCAACGGCATCCTATGACCGCACAGTATGCATCTATGAGCAAGATCAAGAAAGCAGTGGACACTATCGCCTGATCAAGCAATTGGGCCCGTTCCTTGGCAACGTAGAAGCCATGTGTTTTGCAGACAATGCTGTATTGGTGGTTGGTGCACGTGACGACAACTACTTGCATTATATACATATACAAGATGGATTCAGGGACCAGAAGTGCAATATGAATGCCAACAACGATGATTGGGTTTCCTTTGCACCAGCGTATCTCAGCGTATCCCCTGATGGTCGTTATTTATTATGCTCCACCGATCATTCATCAGGCCGCATCATTCTCTTCAAGAAAGGCGAATCGACTCAAGTGCGCAATTACTATGATATGCCATCCGACAATCAATTCACAACACGTCGTCATTGTTGGCATCCAAGTGGACACTATTTTTATATCTCAGGTGCAGATGATCATTGTATTCGAGTATTGGAGACAAAGACAGGACGTGTTGCAGCTACACTTAAAGGAGGACATACCGCCATGGTGCGTGCATTGAGCGTGGATACCAATGTAGGCCTCGTCTCAGTTGGATACGATCATCAAGTCAACATTTGGGCACAACCTTCCATGTCTATAGTGCGATGATAGCTTTTAGTGATGATGATGTCCCAAAAAATGTATTACTCGATTGTGTATATATATCATGCATGGAATTGTGTATATGAAAGAAAGAGGGATAAATAAGGATTGGTTGCTATGGATGGGCGTGTGTTTGTGTTTGTGTGTGTGTGTGTGTGTGTGTGTACGTGGGTGCGCTATCTCTCTAAGCAGTGGGCATCGAGCAAGTCTTTTCAATTTCCTTAACCAGAGCATCCATCTTGGAGTGGTGGACAAACATCAAACGTCGAAAAGGTGCAATGCCAAAATCAGAAAAGGCCCGTCGAGCATCTGATGATGATTCCTTTTCACGGTTGGTGAACTTGTAGTCAAATTGATGTTGTGCGTACTTGTTGATCACTTCATCTTCAGGCTGAAAGTAGAATGTCTCGGTGTCTTGTTCCAATACGCCTTCTGCTGCTGATGCTGCCTTTTTCTTTGCCTTCTTCTTGGGTTGCTCAACAGGCTCATCTTCGCCCTCTTCCTTATCCACCACAGGTTCAACCTCCTTATAAGTCTTGGTAATGAACATGTACCATTCAAAATCATAAGCCTCGCCCTATGCATGGATATCAATGAGTAAACCCCCTCTTGCTGAATCGAATGGGCCCATTCACAACTTACGTTTTGCTTTGCTTGCTTTGTTTCCTCTTGCATCATGTTATACATTGGGGGCATGATCTCCATAGGCATGTTGATGAATCTCTCTGACACCACCCATCCTACGTGTTTCTTGGATTCGGGCGCCATGATTGCATTGATGGTGTCGGCATTCTTCTTGGGACATTTGCTCAACAGATAGGATCGTAATGATTTAACACCTTCATTATCCTATGCGACTCGTTAATTCATTGATCCATCATGTGTAGAGAGCAAGAGTGATGTTACCTTGAAATGATTCAGATTGATGATGCTGAGGATAGCATAAGGATCGGATTCCTGGCCATCCACTTTGACAGTGGTGCCCACATGATTTTCCTCCAAAAGGATATCCACAATATCACCCAAGTTGATAAGCTCTGCGTCAGTGGAAAACAACTGTCCAAAAAGTCTCTTCAAGGCGTGGTAGTCGATCTGCTCGGGATTGAAAAAGTCAAAGTCGACATCGACGATATCCTATATAGCAATGGAGTCCAGGTCAGCTTGTTTGCCTTGTTGTCATCAAGTCCTAGTTCTTGTATGAGACATTACCGGTGCGGCATCGCTGTCTGATTCGGATCCTGAGCCTTCAGTCGTCTTTCTTTTCATGGTTTATGCGTGTATATGGTGAAGCAAGTGGAAAAATCTCTGCACTAAAATGCGCTCTAATGGATGTGGCTCAGAATGCACAATCACCTCCGATTCCACCAACTGTATCATGCCGACCCAAATCATTGCCATGGTATTATCGTTGCCTATGCGACCAGCAATAGAGTCTCGATCGACGTATCAATGACGAATGCCGATGATACAACCATTTGGTGACCCCACCCTTTGGCACTCTTTACAATCCACTGAATCATATTTTCCTCAACACATGCTGTAAATGCGTAGCCACCACGTAATAAAAGCGATCGAATATGGTCTAGTAACGACATGGAGACGTATCTTGATACATAATCCATCATAGATGATGTAATTGCTGCTAGCATAGCCCATTCTTATGATGCGTGTAAAGTTAAGGGTCACGTGAGATGTGTTGAAAGAGATGCCATGAACAAGAGCAAGATCAAAATGAGATAGGCCAACAGTTTTTGACTGCTGCAGCTGAGTAGATGATATAAAAACAGCAAAAACGGTGTCTGCTGCGGATGCCTTGAACGAGTTACACAATGCAAAGTGTCGAAGAAGAGAGAGAAATCCCCTTACAGAAAACTCTAGTTGCTAAGCCCTGCTGACCCTCTATACCACTACGTGGTGGGAGTCATCCATGCTCAGATAAAAGGATCACATGATGAAATAAATGGGACGCACAACATTGTGATGAAGGAAAAGAAAGGTATTTCTGATGAAATGGGGGGAATAAGTTTATATTTTGATTCTATCTAAAAAGAGCATCATCAGCATAGGAGATGAATGAATGACCACCACGGCTTCTTTGTTGGATGAATAGCATTGTTGTAGTACTGATGCGCAGCCACAAGGGTAAGAGAAAGAGTGATGCGTCTGTGTGAAACTCAGTGACGTAGTAGTATAAAGAGACGGGATGGCCAATTCAGTAGGTGCCTTTTTCTCACTCTTTCTTTCCACACAAAATACATTCATACAATGGCTACTGTGAAGCTTATCAGCTCTGACAATGAGGACTTTACCGTCGACAAGGAGGTCGCTGAGAAGTCGGTCTTAATTAAGAACATGTTGGAAGGTGAGCTTTGGAAATCTAGACTGTTCGACGCGCGGCCCATTCGTTTGCTTTTATTAACCCCCTTCCAAGATGTCGGCGATAGCGATGCTCCCATTCCTCTTCCTAATGTCACAGCCAAGATTCTTCGCAAGGTAAAAAAGAGTAGTGTGGAGAGGGTATATGGATGATGCCGTGTTGAGCTGACTTGACCACATTTTCATAGGTGATCGAATGGTGTGATCATCATCGTAATGATCCTGCTGTTGCCCAGGATGAGCAGGATAGACGCAACACTGATATCGAAGAATGGGACCAAAAGTATATGGAAGTCGATCAAGAGACCCTGTTTGATGTTATCCTTGCTGCCAATTATCTTGATATCAAGCCATTGTTGGATGTGGGTTGTAAGACCGTTGCCAATATGATCAAGGGCAAGAGCGCTGAGGAAATTCGACGAACTTTCAACATCACCAACGACTTTACACCTGAGGAGGAAGCCCAAATTCGAAAGGAAAACGTAAGTAATCATTGGATGGGGGGTTGTAGTGCAATACAATGGAAGGCTAACCATTGTCTTTTTTTGTATCCTTCGTTATAGGAATGGGCTGAGGATCGATAAACTTTTTCACTCTTTACATGGCAATTCATCGGTTATATTCCCCCCATTCTCACATCACGAATTAAACAACGGACCAGATGTTATGGACCAGCAACACCAAAAAGTACCACTTGTAATGGAACGACTTTTGAGCAAGAGAAACGTGCGTGCGTGCGTGTGCGTGTGTATGTGTGTGGGTGGGTGGATATGGATGGCTGGATTGTCGATCCGAAGAAGGTGCATCAATGTTGAACCAAAAGTGGAAATCCTTGTCATTGACAGAAAAAACAAGGGGAGGTGGATGGATGGGTTGTCTTTATTTCTCCTCTGCCTTTGAATTGACTTTTGTACGATATACATCTCCTCCCCTTCCTCCCCCCCTTCAACATCAATCTCCTTCAAGACGCGTGCTTTTTTGAACCCCTTTCCAAAAATATCATCGCTGCTGCATACATAGTGTCAAAAAGGCAGCTTTGTTTACCGCTATTGTGTTTTGATATCATGCGTCATACCAACAACATTATATAAACAGGATAAATGCAAGATGCTATGTGGTTTTTTATGCATATACAACAGCTTGTGTGATGCTTGTGATGATGTAAAGTTAAGCGAGTCAGCATCTGCTCGTCCTCATCTGCAGGGAATGAATGAAATCGGTGATCTTTTACTCTACTCGTACATAATCAGGAAGGAGAACATCATGAAGATGTGATGGGTGATATATATTTATGTACAATATCTCAGGAGCATCGTTAGTGGTGATAGAAGGAGAAGTACAAGCGTGTGGTAGTAAAAGTCATAGTGCGAATGGGTGATGGGTGATAAAAGAAAACAATCAAGGAAAGGGATATGCAGATCGGTTGGGTTTAACGCTTGTCTTTTGTAAATGCTGCATGTGGTTTGAACCGAATATTCATAAATACTTTCTTTTGCTCTGTCATCCGTTGATTCCTTTCCCCTCTCCTCTCCCTTTTTCCACCTTTACTTTCACACTTTCTTTTGGCCATGCAATGCCTTCCTCAAGAGCCTCGATTGATTTCAGTTTTTGAGACGACACTCTCGATACAACAAGATGTTTTATCAGTCGGTTTCAAAATGCATCATCTTTTCAATTACAAAGTCATTGACCCATTTCATGTATAGGTCTTTAATGTTGTAATCCAAACACCGTCAACGATGGTGTCTCTTGTTCGATACCCACTTGATTTTGTCGAGTTTCATCAAAAGGTGGGTGGGCTCAAACCACACTTCCAAACCCAGCTCATAACCTGCTACTCTTTCTCTCACACTCAACATTGACCAGATTAATACCCATTATCCACGATCCACAAACAAAGTACCTTTTCCAGCACTCACATCACCCGTCAACCAAATCCATCGCCTTACACGACGTCGCTCAATCAAAAACCTGCTCACCTTTAGCAAAAAGTCCAACGCCGACAAGATTGAAAAGTACCTTCAACGATGCTTTGATCATCCAATCATATCCATATCGACCCTTTTGCGTGATTTTACAAGTGTGCAACGAGACGAGGACAAGGAGATCCTTTGTGATAGTAAATTAGCCATAGGGTCAGCTACTACTACTACAGGCACCTTACCAGCTACTCCTATAACACGACCTTCGATCGACACTGTCAAACCTGCATGCAACGGCAAGCCTAACATTGCAAAGCAGCCTGCAGCATCCATATCAACAGAACCACAACCAGCACCAACAACATCACAACCCGCATCGGAAAACAGTACTGCAAATAATGATCAGCACGATGCTGCTGCTGGTGCATCACTGGACGACTTTGATTTGCTAAAGGTGCTCGGCAAGGGATGCATGGGAAAGGTATATATATATTTATAATCTCATTTGACCCCATATATTTACATACGCCATGTGATCCTTTATGTAGGTGTTGCTTGTACGATCGCGTCATGACCAACAGCTGTATGCCTTAAAGACCATCAAAAAGAAACATGTCATCCAACAAAATGAAGTGGCCCACACCAAAGCTGAGCGTGATATCTTGGCACGAATGCAAGGCATCCCATTCCTCATTGGCCTTCACTACGCTTTTCAAACACCTTCAGAGCTATTCCTGGTTCTTGATTACTATAGTGGAGGTGACATTGCCACTCAAATGTCAATTTATTCGGCCTTTTCTGCGGAGAGAACCTTGTTTTATGCAGCTGAGATTGTTCAGGGATTGTCAGCCTTGCATCAGCACGGTGTCATTTATAGGTAAGAGAAAGAGAAAAAGAGAAAAGGAGATGATACAAGGGGGGCATATTGGATTTAACCTATTGTACATGTAGGGATCTAAAGCCGGAAAACGTTTTGATTGGAAATAACGGCCATATTGTTTTGACTGATTTCGGCTTGTCCAAGATCTTCGATGAAAATGACAATGGCATGACGCAATCCTTCTGTGGTACAGCCGAGTACCTTGCCCCTGAAGTATTGCTGGGGGAGGCTTACACGTTTACGGTGGACTATTGGAGTTTGGGTACTTTGTTGTACGAGATGCTGGCTGGTGTGGTAAGTTGTTCTCTTTTGTATTGGCACTACTACACATGTCATCATCCCCTTGTTGTACCCCTTTATCCCTTAAAATGTGCCAAATTTAACATCAAAATGACATTAGACCCCATTTTGGGCAGAGACTCACATGGAAATGTATCGGCGTGTACTTGACGATCTGCTGGATTTCCCACAACATTTTGATCCTATCACACGCGACTTTTTATCAGGTGTAAGTTTTATCATACAAAGTGGATAAAACAAAAAGGGAGGATATTGATTGGATGATTTACAGCTTCTAGAACGTGACCCAAGTCAACGATTAGGATGGGATGGAGCTGACTCGGTAAAGGCACATCCCTTTTTTGATAGAATGGATTGGGACAAAGTGGCACGGCTTGAATTGACTCCACCCTATGTGCCGGAATTGCGCTCCGAAACGGATCTCACTCACTTTGACGAAGCCTTTATCAACATGTCACCCTGTATTAGTCAATCCTCTTCCTTGTCAAGTAACCAGGACCCATTTGATCATTTTAGCTTTGATGCTCGTAGACCCCCTCCACGCCTTTTGCGACAAAAGCTGCAACGCGTGCGTGCACAACAAAAAAAGCAAATTGGCACCAAGGATAGATTTTCAACATCATCTTCACTTTTATCATTTTCACCAGGCGAGATTGTGCGTCATACGGATACAATGCCATCCTTCCTTACATCCAATCGATATAGTCGTAAGCGGCACAGTGCCAATGTTGATCATCTTGTTGCCACCAAAGAAGAAGAAGACATACCACGACCTACCACAGACACCTCATCCTTGTATTCATCCATGACCTTATCATCCGTACATCCTGATGAAATCAATGCAAGGAATGCTATTGAAGACGTTAGTGATACAAGCAACGATCCCATCTCGTCATCATCCCCTAACACTGAACTTCCCACATCTTCATCAGCAAAGCGACCTTCGCCACCCGATCACAGTCCTTACGTTCGACCCCATTGTCCCGTTCCAGGCCAAATGAGATCCACCACGCTTTCTATCGCTTCCAATTCAACTAGCCCTCCCATCATCAACAACCGCGACTCGCTATGTTTATCCGATCTCTCATCATTTCCACCAGACCAAGCTGCTGTAACAGCAACAGCTGCACCAGAACATGATACCGCTAATAATACTAGTAGTAATAATACCAGCGATTGGCAGCGCCCCTACTTGACCTTTTCGTCCTAATATCCTTCCACCTAATCCTGCCAAAGCAACATCGCATCCCCCCCCCTCATCACATCAAGCAATCAATACCTTCCACCCATATGCATTGAAAAAGCAGTATACGAGTAATCATCATAGATCCGTTGTTTCTCTCCTTTGTTTTTACACACATTTATTCGTTCCAGCCGTTTAATCATGTTACCCCTGCCATTCATTTAATACTAATTGAATCACTCTTGCTGTGATAACCATGCTTTGAACTTCTCATCTTTTTGTTGTTGCGCGATGGAGGGTGGATATTTCGATGCGGATGGTAGAGGATTCTCGTCTACGTGTAATGGTACGTTTTAGGCTCATCTTGTATTCCCATATCCCCCTATCAAAACTTACCACTATCATATTCCTCATCCTCATCTTCCTCTTGTTCCCAACGCTCATCCTGCTGGCCTGCATCCAATGCCACCTCTTTTCCTTTTGACACGTTCATATCCTTCATCAACTTGTTCAACTGATCTTGTCGATTCTTTTCTTCTCGATCCATCTATTGTAGTCACACACACGATGATGAGTCCCATCCATTTGCATTCTCTATCCCAGGCATAAAGAACTTACCTTTTCGCGTATCAGCCGTTCAATTTCAGGTTTGTATTCACTATAGATATGCGGGTATCCTTCATCAGCATCTTATCCTTATCCATTTCAACCATAAAACCTTTATGACGTACGTCTCGTATTGATCTGCAGCTTCATCAATTGCCTTGAAGAAATCATCAATGCCTTGACCCGTGACAGCTGAAACACCGACCACCTTGAGATGGTTATAAAACTCATCCAGTACCAAGCTCATTGAATTCATGAGACTGCTCATATAGCTTGTATCTTGTGAAAGAGCTTCCTGGAACTTTTCAAAATCGGTCATCCATTCAACAGCGAATTCATGCGATACAACATCGGTCTTGTTGAACACGAGAATGAAGGGTAGTTTGGTCTTGTAGAGAATACTGCATGCATACAACATGTTGCTCATAAAAGTGGCAGGTGCAGTCGTACGTGGTGTGTCAATGATGTAAGCAACGACGGTGGGATAAGTAGCTGCAAGCGTATCGGTGATGATGGCACCAGAAGCTGACCATGTAAAGATCTCAATCTGACCAGGTGTATCGACAAAAATATTACTATACAGACATCATTGCTGTTAATACCCCATCCACATCCTCTTTGTATGCCTTTTTTTCTACCTGACATTCTCGGCACGCTTGGCAACCAAGTTTAGCACTTGATCAAACTTTGTAGTAAACAAGTTCAAGCTCGTCAAGATACCACCATTGGGACCGAGTTGATATCTATCAAAGAGAGAGAGAGACACCCTATTAGAGATCCACCTTGATCGCATTCCAATAAAAAAGTAGATCTTACTGTTTCATGACCTCCTTGTAGTTGACAGTGTCTCGAATATCAATGTTGGCTGTGAATGGAAGTGTACCCACGGCAGGATCGAGATTGAGTACATAAGGTGGTGTCTTTTTCGCATGTTGGTGTGCAATGATCCGCTGTAATAGTAAAAGCCGAGAACGTTAACCCATGCAAGCGTCAGTGTATATATATATATATAAGCTTACCTGCATAAAGGTAGTTTTGCCGGAACCAGCCATGCCAATGCACAAGACGACAGGTGGTTGCTTGGTATCGTTGGGTGTGCTCATGTTTTGGGAGGAGGTGGAGGTGTGTGATAGAAAGAAAGAGAATGAAGACGCGCCTCTTCAATGCGGTGTTCATTGAAAATTCTTGCTGCTTTGCTTATCAAGCATTGACGATTGACAGCAATGCCGGTTACACACATGGATAAATGAACACACCTATAGCTTGCATGAGTTTGTGTGCATCTACAAGGTCATCTTCATTGTGGATACTCAATAAACTTTATTCGTGTCTTTACTTAAACACCGTGGGGTTGGTTACCATAGCAACATGTCGATAAGGAAGCATGATCCTTACAATAAAATCTAGCTTCTTGTGGTGTCTTTATTTGAAGGAAGTAATTCTAGTCTCTTCTCTTTATGATTTATGTACGTTGAATGTACAAGGTACTATTTTCTTATCGAAAAAGATGATGCGAAAGAGTAATTGTTGAACCCAACTTGTTGTGGTACACATATCAGCAACATGTATTATATATGATGTGAGGAGATAATAAGAAAGACGCTCACCTTCTTGTATGTTATGGCTGTATGATGATATCCAGTGCCTTTTGATCATCACTTCGCTTCACCCATTCACCCATTAAATGTATTTGGCTCTATGACGCCATTTTTCGTAATGAGTGAATGATACAAAAACGTGTACAACTTGAGCTTACTTGCATGAATCCAGCAGCTTTCCATTTTCAGAGGATTCCTTAGGCTATCAGGCTGGTGAATGTATGATGGATTACCACTTCAACATGAGTATATGAAGCGTATCCATGGCTACCCCTGTGGATGTTGACATGGGTGAAACAAGGATGGTAGGCATGTTGTCAAGGGAAACCCAATGCTGAGTATGGATTATCGTGTGTGCGTGTAAGCCGCGGAAGTACAGTCTTAGCTTACCATTCCTTTTCCTTGTGCCACATGCATGAACACCACAACGACTCTCTCTTCCAGCGCTTGTCCTTTGACGCGATCTCGCACATTTTCTCTTTCCTCGATCAGTCAACGTGCTTGTTGTGTCTTTCTGTATGCCGCTCATGGTACAATCTGATTCCCGAGTACAGTCGAGACCTCTGGACCCAACTTTCAGTGGATGGCCCCATTAGCGCCTCCATGGCCCAATGCCTTGGACCTCATCTACGCACTGTGTGTTTTCAACATATAGCAAAGAGCACACTTTTATTCAACGTGCAACGTATGGCAGAGATTGGATGTACGGGTATTGAGACTATGGGTAAGCAGCAGCATGTCAAACTATCATAAACACGTGCTATGTGTGCTTATGTCAGTGGTGATAGATTTTCGTGCGTATGTTCAATCGGATGAGACCATTGCAGCCCTGGCACGGATAAGTGACAATGTCAAGGAGATCTCTATCCACAGCGACCTGACGCAAGGACCCATCGTTCAGTTATTTGATGCTTGTCCCAAACTCGAACGCTTTCGTTACAAGGCACACATTCTTCATTTGACCAATGCAAACGACACCATGTTGATGATCAATCACCCCATATACCCTAACATGACATTACTCGCCCTCGACACCACCATCCCTGCAAGCTCACTCGAAGCATTATTGAAACTATGCCCCAATCTACGCATGCTATCGATCCACAACATTCGTCACAACGTCGCCGTCTTTTCTCGTTATGGCAGCTACTTTAGCATGATCCTTGCTCTATGTCCACAAATCACTCAACTCCATTGTGCTGGATGGCATCGACAACTGGGTCATTTACCTGTATTGGGAGAAGCTGACAACAAGGCGATCTACCCACATCATCATCATCATCACCAGCAACAGCAGCATACCACACCTGGTTTACGCGAATTCGCAATGGAAGTATGCGACCTATATCCACAAAATCACGTGATGCAGCTACTACGGGAGAATGCGAATACCATTGAATCAGTAGCCTTCACGACCTTGTTTATGCCTGTGAATGATGAAGAAGATGAAGAGGATTGGTCCATCCTTGGTTCATTGGATCCCGTATGCTTACGCAAGTTGTCATTGACCCAAGTCGAGATGAGTGCGGATGCTTTGAGTGAGTTACTTGGCAAGGTGGCATCCACAGTGGATACGGTGGAGCTGGATCAGATGCCGGTAACGGTGCAAGTTGCAGATGCCTTTCAGCCCCTTGATTCGTTACGACATTTATACATCAATGCAAGAATGACACCTGAAGCAGCTACTCATTTGGCCAAATCACTACGCACAGCCTATTCGACTATTGAAAGCCTTGGATTCCAACAGCAAATCACGAATGATATTTTGAGATCCATTGGTTGTTTGGAACGACTAGAGACGTTGGATTTATGCAATGGGCGAGGATTGGATGGAGGAGTACTATGCGAGATGCTGGAATGCTTACGCCCTCACGAGAATTTGACCATGTTGAAATTGACGGGTTGCAGAGCAGTATCGGATCGAGTTCTCGATACCATTTCAAAGTTCAAGAGCGTACGGCGATTGATTCTGCTGGGTAGTATGCAATGCACTGATGCAGGCCTCATTCGACTATGTCACGCGTTATCCAGCACCGTTGACCACATCTTTATCACTGGAAGGCATCTCACTCCACACGGCATTGCTTCTGCAACCAACATTCTCGGTCCCAGTAGAATAAGCGCTGCACAGGCACAAACACGTCGTTGAGCAACAAGCAACATGCATGTACATCGATCTTCATTTATTCCAATCAACCCCCCCATGACACGCACACACACGCCAACGTTATTTAGAGTAATGACATCTTTGTTCGAGAACTATAATACACAATCATTTCATCCATATCTATTGTCTCATTCATCACATACAATGAACCCTATACATGCCACCGACGATCATCAAAGGAAATCAGCTCCGAAACACTCTACAGCCAAAAAAGTGACAATGCCGCCACCCCATTGTGAATGTTTGTATCTCTTTCTTTTGTTGATCACACAACATATTCACCGATAAGGATAGTCTCTCATACTTCTCTCAAAATGAGCACCTCCTTTTATGACCATCTCTTTGAGGATAACAATGCCACCCGGGCAACCAAGGATGATGACCCTTTGATTGTGGATGCCATGGATACCAATCGTTTTCTCACATTTATCGAGCTACGCTGCAAGGTGCGCGCACTTGCAATTGCATTACGTCGACCACCTTTCAATTTTCAAGAAGGTGACGTGATCGCTTTTTGCTCAGCTGATGATGTAAGTGAATGGATGTGAATGCGCACGGACCATGTTGTTGACATGTTTATGCATATCGTAGATTGAATGTGCTATTGCTATATGTGGGATTGCATGTGCTGGTAAGTACATTCCCTTTATCCAAAATCTCTCCTCAGCTCATTCTTCACGCTTAGGTCTATCGGCATGTCTTATTCCATCCAAATCCCATGCTGATGACATCCGAAACATCTTCCATTCCACATCACCCAAAGCAGTCGTCGCTCACCCTGAAACATTGGATACCGTCAAAAAAGTATGGAATAAGGAAAACGGCAATGCAATCCCCATTTTGCTACTTGGAACCGAACACGCGGCCAAAGACACCGAACTTCTTGCTCAATACACACGTGGTGACAAGCATGGTGAATTGCCGAGGGTAAATCCAGATACACCTGCTTTTATTGTATGCACTTCAGGAAGCACGGGTCATCCCAAACCTGTAGTCCTCACGTAAGTACATCTCTTGTTGCTGTCCAATTCTTTGGTACTTACAAAACATGGGTCTATGTATGTAGTCAACGTGTGGCGATTGCACGCATGCAACATGAGAATCCAGCTAATCGTGTCGTCGATGCCGATCATGCATCTCCTCGTTTATTATCCACCACTCATTGCGCTTTTATATCTTGGCTCATGCTTTGCTGGATCACTATAAGGATTGGATATCCACAATATGTATTGGGAGAATGGAATGCATCAAATTTGGATCTTGTCATGAGCAAGGTGCAGGAGCTGGGGATCACATGGATACTGAAATTGGAATCTCAAGTAATCACACAAATTGCGTATCAACCAGAAATGATCAAGAAATACCAACTTTCGACTCTGCAAGTTGTTGATTCAGGTGGCCAACTTGTTCCACAAGATGCACTTTTACGCGCAGCAGAGATTCTCAAAGCAAGTATTCGATGTGTCTATGCCAGCACGGAAACAAGCCTTGTCTTTGCGTTATCCGACAAATGTACATTCTACAGTAAGTCCATCATTGGATATCTCAGCTTGGATATGAAGAAGAACGAACCAACATGTTGTACCTATGCATAGGAAAGGAGGGGTTGTTTGCAAAGAATGATCCATCTGCTAGAGTTAAGCTCGTGGATAGCAATAACAAAGGTAAGGTGGGGATAAGGCTTGGGTACATGATTGTTGATTACCTTTCATGTTCGTGTAGAGGTGTCTATTGGTGGTGAAGGCGAGTTAATAGTGAAGAGTCCAATGAACGCAGTGGTAAGTTGAAAGACAATGGGCGCTACAACCAATTTTAGACATTGATTCTCCTTGTTGTCGCATCCAGGGTTATTACAATCGGCCTGATTTGACCGCAAAATCATTTGACAATGAAGGTTACTATCACACGGTAAGCAATGGAGATGAAAGGACGATGGCATGTTCTCATTGTGTACATGGTAATATAGGGAGATGTATGCACTGTGGATGAAAAGGGCAACTATACTATGCTTGGTCGGAAAGCGGATATCATCCGGACAAAGCCATCACCGGTATGTATCATTCATTATGCTGATAGCCATCAAATTGATCATTGTGTAAATCATCTTTCCAACATGATAGTTCTTCCCCAAATTACTTGAGGACATTTGCGTAAATATTCCACCATCATACAATGATGCAAATGGTTTCAGTGCTAATATCTCTTCTTTTGCTTTCTAGCTGTCGTTTGGAGGGATCAAGGAATGTGCTATCGTGGGTGCATTTAGCTCAAAACATGACCAAGAACTTCCTCGTGCGTATATTGTACCATCAGACGGAATCGCATTTGGACAAGACAAGGTTGAGCAGCTTATCAAGTATGTTGAAAAACAAGTACCTATTCAGGAGATGAGATTGAGTGGCGGTGTTAAGGTCATGGAGGACCTTCCTATTGGGAAGACTGGGAAAATCGAACGAGCAACACTCAAAAAGCTCGCTCAAGAGGAACTCCAAGGACATGGTATTATTTAGTCATTGGCATCATCTTGTAATAGTTGCTGTATTGTTTAGCTTGATCCAGACAAGCTGTTATATAAAGGACATGGCTATTAGAGGATTACCAATGATGAAAAGGATTAGTGGGATGATCAAAAGAAAAAGTGCTGTCATAGGGTTAAAGGATAAAGGTTGACTAGCGCCTCAGGTTACTCGTTTCACTCGTATACTTTAGATTTCAGAGCACCTTGTGTGATAGTTTCAGGTTTGAGAGGGGCAATCTCAATATCAAGGATTGATGTACAAGTGTTCATGCATTTATACAAGAGGTGTCCGACCCATTTGATTTCCACTTCTTCCACTCCCACAACTTCTTGTCTCTTCCTCCCATTCTCAACTGTTGGCCCCATTCACGTATACAACTACCACATACGAACAGCTGTCCTGCTTCAACCCATCATGTCAATCCTACAACCCTCTTGATCCGATTGCTTTGACTGAATGGACAAGTTCATGGCGTGTACACAACCTTCTTGTCACTCTTCTACAGCACACGAGTCTCTTGACACAACACACGCTCTTGCACACTCCTCTACCACGGCCAATCGTAACAGCATTCATTGCAGCAGTTGCTATTTACTCCATTGTCTCGTACAGCGTTCACAACCTTATCACTCTACTACAGCACACGCTCTCTTGCGCACTCCTTTGCCACGACCAAACTTGACAGCAGTTGCTATTAGCAGCAGGGTCTTCACTCCAATGTCTCAAGATGCTTGCAGCAACCTGCATTGTGGTATTCATCTCGTGAACAGCAGATAGCCATTGTATAGAAGCAGCTTTATTTGCGTGTAGCAACTTGCTTTGATGCATACGACTTCCAATGGATGATGCCATATCAGCTATCAAGTACGCCGCAATACAAGCAATCTTCACCTGGTTGAGCTGCGATGGATGACCAAGAATGAGATATATCAACAGCAAGATGGAAAAGGAAACACATCAACAACGGCTCTTTTCAACCAGCGTATTGGATATGCAATAGTTATGGATGGATAGACGCAATCAAGTGCAATGATGAAAAAGAAATCCTGGATATTGCATTGGTTACTTTCCGCGTCGTCAGCAGGAACGATGGATCATGTCGCATGGATACGGCTGAGGATGATGACGGATTGGATGGAATCGACAAAAGGGCTTTTATCTTCGTCGAATGGTGTTTCACAGCCATGGATGAATGATATTGGAGTAATCGATTCAATGCATGCAACGACGGATTTGGGATCATGGATGAAGGATGATTATGACGGCAGCAATCAAGAGTACGATGACACGATTATCCCGGTGGCCTCGATGTGTTCATCCGTACCTTATTCAATCCGCAATGCTGTTCCTTTACCAGATTTATTTGATGGACAACCACACTACCATATGCTGTATTCTTCAACTTTGTCATTGAATGAAAATTGGATTGAACATAATATTTGGGGTATCATGCTATTAGCTCGTATGGGCAAGGTGTGGATCACTTGGTTGGTTTCTGGTTTGAGGTTGCTTCATTTACATCGTCGTATCGCGATGCTTTTGTTCTTTTGCCACAACATTTTATGACTTCACTAAAGCTTTCTAGTTCACATGCTGATAGTAAACGCTAATGCTTGTATTGCAAAGATAACTAATTTGAGAGTGATGATGCCCGACATTTGCTTGTTACAGGGCATGGTGATCATTGTGAACTGATGAATTCATTATATCCAAGAAAGAATGAGCTGTTATACAATATGCCACAAGCACATGAACAAGCCATGCTTATCTATGCCAGCTATCATCTAACGCTACCACATGCATCCTTATATAAGAGCGAATCATTCTATACGAGCTACCATAGGCGGACCTTATTATAGGAAGGCAGAGGACGGATCAATCATGCATCTCTCTCAACCAATAGAATTGGACCCTTCAAGACTGACTCAGTTACACAAACACGTTCCTGCGCATCGATGGCTCTGGCATGAGTGAGGGGCGGCACACAATGAACAAAGACCTCTTTCCATATAGCATCACGCTTACAGCATATGTAAAACATAAAGGTGCCTGTATCTCCGAACTTTACAATCAAACGTGGGGTCTTCAATAGAACAGAGTTGCTCGCCGGGGTCAAAGCGATCTTGTGTCAAAGTATGAAGTTCATCGTGGCCATTCCCAGATTTCGCAATGTCGCTACCAGCCAAACTGGATCTGGGGGTCGACCTCTTCGACGACGACGACCAAAAAATATTTTTTGGGCTAATTGCGACATTGAACGCGAAACTTTCACACAAGGTGCTGTTGGCCAAGCCGAGCCCATTGCGCTATTCAAAACCACACGTTTCATTGTAAATTTTGGAGATACAGGCACCTTTATGTTTGTAAGCATGATGCTATATGAGAAGTGGTCTTTGTTTAATGTAAAGTAGCTGGACCCTGGCAGAGGAAGAGATGCAGAGGGTCGTGTTGTATAACACAGCTACGTTTGCATGAATGAAAGGGTCAATGTATAATTACTTTATGGATCATCTAGGAACAGGCATGTATTGCTAGCTAACGGCCACTTTTATCCAGTCATCATTGTTGCGAGATCCACTGCATGGGAACGATGTCCCTGCTCTAGACATTCATTTCCATGATTAAAGTAGGTTGATCCGAGCTGATTTGACTGAGCTGCGGTCAAAGAGAGATTACATCACTCTGGACATAAAGCACGCTCGATGTAGCTCAACCGATGTAATCTTGTGTGGGCGTAACTCAGCCAAACTCGGATCAGCCTAAGCAATCATGGAAATGAATGTCAGTAGAATCCACCTACAATGCACAAAAGTTGGGAATGCAAAAGTGGCTATTAGCTGCCAATGTATGACATAGAATGAGGGTTGCGTACCTTTCATGCATTACCCTGAAGTCAGACTTTTAGCTGAGTTGCAAGAGGTCCACTCATCTTTTGCTCTGCCAGGGTCCAGCTACTTTACATTAAACAAAAAGACCACTCTTCATATAGCATCACGCTTACAAACATAAAGGTGCCTGTATCTCCAAACTTTACAATCAAACATGTGGTTTTTATAAGAGCAATGTGCTCGAGCCAACAGCACCTTGTGTAGAGGGTTTCACGTTCAATGTCACAACTAGCCCAAAAAATATTTTTTGGTCGTCGTCGTTGAAGAGTCGACCTCAGATCAGTTTGGCTGGTAGCGACGACGCGAATCTGGGATCAAAGCGATCGGCAAGGTGCAGTTGGCCAAGCCGAGCACATTCTCTAACCACACGTTTCATTGTAAAGTTCGGAGATACAGGGACCTTTATGTTTATTAGCGTGATGATGTGTTTGATATAAATGAGTATATTTATAAGGCTCCAGTGGTTGGAGCTAAGTTTGGTGTAACAACCTCCGGTGCTATCATAGGATGGCCATAAAAATGCCATTCACAATGGTTAGGCTCTATATCTGAGTTGATCAAATAAATCAAACCTTGTACAACACGCCAACTCTTTTCACTCTTTCTCTTTCTTATTGTAACACTCGTCGTATCGCGGTATATGAAGATGAGGAACTCGAACGCCTTGAACATAATTATACAATGAATTGCTCGACTCTGAAATGATTCCAGTACGTGAGGTGGATCACATCCTGGTAGAAAGTACCGGAACCATCAGTTTGCACATGAGTGCTTAGTGCGAGATTACTTTGCTCCCGAGCCTGTTTACACCGAACAGCACGCTTTCGTAGACGCTTCAGAATGTCCAAGCGGTTATTCTTATACATAGTCGAAGAGATGAAAAGGTCGATACACTTTTCACTCAGCGCTATGATGCTGCTATGAAGCCTGGTTTGTCCCCTTTGGTGAGGGCTACTGCTGTCATGCGTCAATACGGTATTGGTGCAGATACTGCTGATAGGTATCTTCGAGTGGCGGAAGCACCGCTTTGAGTCATTGATCAAGTTTTGTAGAAAACTTAAATACCATCTTCGGTGACAAATACTTGCGACAACCCAACCAACATGACGTCCAACGGTTGCTCTCAGAAAATGCAGCAAGAGTTCCTGAAATGCTTGGCTCCATTGACTGTATGCATTGGCAATGGGACCAATTGCCCTGTTGCTTGGCATGGTGCTTACACAGGTCGCTCAAAGCATGCAAGCACAGTTCTAGAAGCTGTTGCTTCTTATGACTTGTGGATCTGGCATGCCAGTATTGGCCACCCAGGATCTTTGAACGATCTCAACATCCTTCATAGATCAAATCTCTTCAACTGCTGTGCTTCAGGTGAAAACCATCAATCATTTAATGCTTCACACCCATTCCTTTTAACAACATTGCATTAGGCAACACACCTTCGGCAACGTATACCATCAATGGCCACGAATACCATATGGGCTACTATCTTGCTGATGGAATTTACCCTGATTGGGCCACCATGATGAAAAGTTTTAGTAGTCCAGCTGGTAGAAAGCAAGAGGTAAGTCTACGTGGCATACGTTTATCTATACCATCAGCCCGATCAATGATTGGAAACTTATGTACATAGCACTACAACAAGATGCAGAAGGTGCTCGCAAGGATGTGGAGCGTGCTGGGTTTGCTCCGTTGAGTCCAGCTACACATTGTCGTTATACCACTCATATAAAGCATCACGCTTACAAACATAAAGGTGCCTGTATCTCAAACTTTAAAATCAAACATGTGGTTTTTATAAGAGCAATGTGCTCGGCTTGACCAACAGCACCTTGTGTAAAGCTTTAATGTTCGCTGTCGCAACTAGCCCAAAAATATTTTTTGTCATGTCGTTGGGAATAGGTCGACCTCAGATCCAGTTTGTCAGGTAGCGACATTATGGTATCCGGATTGCAGCCGACAAACTGGCACCCAGCAGTTAGCTGCTTGTTAATATTGCTCTAATAAAAACCACACGTTTTGCCGTAAAGTTCGGAGACAGGGACCTTTATGTTTGTAAGCGTGATGCTATATGAGAAGTGGTCTTTGTTTGATGTAAAGTAGTGGTTTTATCATAAGAGCATTCCAATGGTTGGGAGCTAAGTTTAAAAATAACCTCCGGTGCTATCATAGACGGCCATAAAATGCCAATTTCACAATGGTTAGGCTCTATATCTGAGTTGATCAATAAATCAAACCTGTACAACACGCCAACTCTTTTCACTCTTTCTTTCTTATTATGTTTACTCGTCGTATACTCTTAATTCAGTGTACCTATGAAGATGATGAGGAACTCGAACGCCTGAACATATTCGCCATATCAATGAATTGCTCGACTCGAATGATTCCAGTACGTGGTGGATCACATCCTGGTAGAAGGTATATCTACCGGAACCATCAGTTTGCACATGAGTGCTTGGTGAGATTACTTTGCTCCCGAGCCTGTTTACACCGAACAGCACTTTCGTAGACGCTTCAGAATGTCCAAGCGGTTATTTTACATAGTCGAGAGATGAAAAAGGTATGATACACTTTTCACTAGCGCTATGATGCTGCTATGAAGTCTATTCTTGTCCCTTGGTGAGGGCTACCGCTGTCATGCGCCAATTGGCATACGGTATTGGTGCAGATACCGCTGATGAGGACTTTGAGTGGCGGAGAGCACCCTGCTTTGGAGTCATTGATTCAGTTTGTGAAAACTTAATACCATCTTCGGTGACAACATTATGACAACCAACCAAATATCCAACGTCCGTTCGCAACAGCAAGGGGATTGGATTGCTTGGTTCCATTGACTGTATGTATTGGCACGATTACTTCGTCTTGTTGCTTGGCATATGCTTACAATAGGTCGCTCAAAGCATGCAAGCACAGTTCTAGAAGCCGTTGCTTCTTATGACTTGTGGATCTGGCATGCCAGTATTGGATACCCAGACCTTTTGAACGATCTCAACATCCTCTATAGACTCACCCCTTCAACAACATTGCTTCAGGTGAAACCATCAATCATTTAATGCTTCTAATACCCGATCTTTTTAACAACATTGCATTAGGCAACGCACCTTCGGCAACGTATACCATCAATGGCCACGAATACCATATGGGCTACTATCTTGCTGATGAATTTACCCTGATTGGGCCACCATGATGAAAAGTTTTAGTAGTCCAGCTGGTAGAAAGTTAGGAAAGTCCAAGCGTGGCATACGTTTATCTATACCATCAGCCTGATCAATGATTGGAAACTTATGTACATAGCACTACAACAAGATGCAAGAAGGTGCTCGCAAGGATGTGGAGCGTGCTTTCGGAGTGCTCCAAAAACAATTTCTCATCGTTCGCAATCCGTATCGGCTTTCAAAGGCCGAGACGGGATCAATGTTATGAGGATGCATCATCCTCCATAACATGATTATTGAAGATGAACGTGCTGAACCTGTTGAAGATCTGGAAGAAGATCATGTACCACTGCTTTCGATCGATAGAAATCCGGTTACCCTTGGAGAGTATAGTAGACGGTGGGAAGAATCAAGGATCGAAGTGCTTCATTTACAAGCTGAGACATGATTTAATCGAGAAAGATTTCGCAATGCTATGGCACAACGTTTAAAACGATTGAGTTACATTGTTTTTTTAAATCACTTTATCACACCATACTACTATCTAGCTCTTCGACTATTGTGTATCGAACTTCAGCATCACCATCACCATTGCCACCATCACCATTCGATACGGACTGGAGACTGTACTTGCTTCTTCATATATGCGTCCAAGATTTGCTGTTGGCGCATCATAAAATAAGCCGTTTTTGGCGATAGATTCATGGTCGAGGTATCTTTTGACATAATTCAAGCTCGCATGCTTCTTGGGCGATTTCAAGCTTTTGGCGGCACTTGAAAGTTCCTGTTGCACTTCGAGCAACTCGTCAGCCTTCTTTTTGTTGGCATGCTCTTCAGTTTGCTTGGCCTTTGCTTGTTTCGTTGGCCTCGGCTTCATCTGCGACCATCTCCGACAACTGCTGGCTGCGTTTTTTGTATATATCGAGTGCTGAACTTCTGGCATTCTTTGAGATACTCATAGCAATGCATGAACTGAAACTCCTTTCCTGGTTTTCCAGCTGCTGCTGTGCTCTCACGGAATAGTTGACGGCAGCATTGATCTATAATTGTGAATAATAAGATAAGTACCATCATTGTATCAGCATTGTTTGTAACACCATCAGCTCCATTGCATCCACTGCGACCTTTAGCCACCTGAACGAAGCCGATAAACTTGAGATTCTCGTACTTGATAACTTTCCACCGTGCTTCCAATGATTCAACCGAACGTACAGGACTACGATTATCAACAATCAAGCGCTAATGGTCATGAACAGACTTCCAAAAGCCAGTTCTGTTTTGGCCGTACCAATGGCAGGATTTTCGGAAATATGGACCCAGGCTTGACATAGAGAGACTTCGTTAAGTGACCAGGTCTGACCTCTTTCCTAAATCTTGATCTTGATGAGGCAGAAGATGATGGATCATTTTCAGCAGGTAGTACATCCATTGACATCAAAGACATGATCGAGTAGCAGGTTCAGGTGATGAGAGTAAGTAGTAGATTCAGGGTTGCTGCCAGACATAATAAAAGAGAAGTTTAGAGTCAAGTTCATTTCATAGACACAATGGCATATATTGAATATGTAACCCATTTATTGTTATGCTAAAGAAGATAACGTAATGCTTAGAAAGTGTTGATATGGTTAAAGGAGATAGCATAAAAGATGAGGTATTTACACGGTTTAGTCGGCGCCGCTTCACATTTTTACACGGTTTAGCAGAAATTTTGACTCGCCGTAAAATTGACTTCGTTTCGACTCCACCATTGGGATCGACCGTGTAAATCGGAGTCAATTTGCACTTAGCTCCATCGATTGGAGATGCTCTAATAGAGCAAAAGATGTAGAGGGCGTGTTTGTGTAACTTGAGTCATTCAGCACAGGCGATGCATGATTCTTGTACACCATTTAGGGATAGTTCAAAATGCCAGCTAATAACTATCCTCCATTTCATTGTTATGTTCAATCCATGCATAATTGACGGCAACCAATCGTATTCATTGTCATCCTTCAACTTTCTTGATCCGAGTGGATTTGACTGAGCAACGCTCAAACACAGAAACATCATCCAATATCAGAAGAATCAAATTGGTAAGTTATTTGTAAACTGCCGGCTAATAGCCCATTCCTCCCATTCACCTTTGTTGTCCAATCCAATGCATACGAACGGTTGTCCTGCTCCATCCCAGCACTCCTATCCTTCAACTTTCTTCATCCGAGAGGATTTGATTGAGCAACGCTCAAAGAAAGAAATAGCATTCAACTTCAGTTCAACTCACTTAAATTCGCAGCTCTTCCCACTCTCAGCCTCCTCTTCCTCCCATTCTCAACTGTTGGTGCATTCAAGTACAACTACCACCTGCGAACAATTGTCCTGCTTCAACCCATCCATGTCAATCCTACACTTGTCTTGATCCGATTGTCTTTGACTCATTGGCAAGTCCATGGAGTGTGCACCCACTACAACACGCGGGTCTTTTGACACTCACCTTCTCTTATATACTCCTCTACCACGAACCAATCGTAACAGTGTTCATTGCAACAGTTGCTGTTAACGATGCCTTTACTCCATTGTCTCAAGTTACTTGCAGCAACTTGCCTTACAGCCCTGTTTACGTGAACAGCAGATAGTCATTGTATAGAAGCAGCTTTATTTACGCGTAGCAACTTTGTTCAATACATACAAATTCTCATGGATATGGATATGGATATTGCTTTGGGTTGATACATGGGATGGAAGGAATCGCGTATATATACAACGGGTGGGAAAAGGGTGTATCTATTGTCAACTCGACCTTTATGTTTGACGGTATCATTTGGACGATTGGTGCATTGAATTAAGCTACTTTACATGCTATCCCATGGTAGCAATCACCATCCTTTGTACAACCTGTCGACCATCATGTACAACCATCATCATTATCCAAATCCATGTCTTGACACGCCATGCGTATAATTCGCCACCACACATCAAGTGCCACCTTCCATCAATCCATTCGCCTTGCACAATGCACGCCCACAGGAATGAAAATGTACCTTCCTCATTGGAGCAATTCGCTGTACCTATCAATCTATATCTTGTGAATGCTGCTGCTTGGATTAAAGGGTTGCTTTAACGAACTCCGTATCATGTTGGTCAAGTTCTATAGCATAGGAGACTTCCTTTTTCCGGAGTTGGGTCTTGTCGTGTGCAGGTACTTGGTGGGTTGTCGTATAGAAGAAAGATTTATGATATGGCGAATGCAGCAAAACGAGGGGATGGAGACAGGGTTTGATTGATCCATTGTATTTGAACAAAGACTGTATTTGATAGTATAATGCGCCTCCCTTTTTTCTGTGATTCGATGTTGTCGATACGCCGTACATGACACACGTTCTTTCTTTGTGATTTGGATCTTGTAAGATAGTTACTTTATTGACATACGGCGGTTGATGATCCCAGAAGCCCTACTCGTGGATTTCGTTGTTTGCCATTTGTCTAAGCTTCTTTCTATCCAATTTATAATTTTTACTATCAGGCAATTCTTTCAAGAGCGTGACACCATTAGCATCCAATTTCATTGTCTTGTCGGCCACACGTTCATTGACAAATGTAATCAGCTGGCTGATCTTGTCCTGGTCGAAGATAGTTCCCTTCGTAGGTACAATGAAAACGTGTGGATGGTCACCAGCAGAATGGGTATTCGAGACGCCAACGGCAACGCATTGCTTTACCCCGTCAAAGAGAACCTGTATAATGAAAATCATTAGCATCCACTTGATCACCCACCCACGTTAGACAATAATCATTACACAGATATCTTCCAGCTGTATCGGATAAATCTAAATCGGAAGTGTACATACGCACTATCAGCCATGAATAAAGATAGGGCGCTTTTACATATACACGTACATTGCAATTCTTTGTCTTGATTGCATCCGTTTCTCGACCTAGGTTGATAAAGTGATTTTCTTGATCAACAGTGAACATGTCGCTCTATATGAATGGGATATCAGCACGTATAAATACAGGGTTTATCTCACATTCATCCCCTGAAAGATAGTGGTAGCTGTCATACCGTATGGTAATACCCTTCGTTGTCGAAAGCTTTGGCTGTCAAGTCGGGGCGCTTATAGTAACCCACTGCATTCATGGGCCCTTTAATTAACATTTCACCTTCCACATTCGATGAAGCTTCTACGTACATAAAGAAAAGGTTACTAGTCAAACACCTTTGTGGTATACGCCCAATACGTGCACTTGTTACCTTGACCCTTTTCATCCACCACCTTGATACCAGTCGTCGATGCTGCATTTGCATACATGCCCATTTTTTCTACATACCGTGGTCATAAGAGGGAGAGATCGATGGTATTATTAGTGACGAGGGAAAAGTAGGTAAATCTTGAAAGTTCCATACATACCATAATAAGGCGGTTTTGTACTAGAATGGGCCAAAACGACACCTGTCTCTGTGCTAGCAAAGAAATTCACCATCGTCGCTTGTAAAGAAGCTCCAGCACGTAAAAGTGTATCTCTAGGTATAGGCTGTCCTCTAGTACAAACGAGACGCAACATGGAGAGATCATAGTTGTAAGCATTGGCTTCTGGTTGATAAGCAATGTCATAGAGAGTTTGCGATTTCAGGGTGTAGATCAACGTGATACCAAATTCTTGCACCTTGCTCAAGACTCGGTTCAAATTTGAAACCCCATCTAAGAACCTCATCGAGTATAATGATACACCAAGGCGGATGCATATAAAGGACACGCTGTACCATGGTCGCGTCCCACACATGTAGAAAGATAGTATGCGCGGATTCGCGTCACCAACACTAATAAAAAGAGAACGCTGAATATCGGTTTCATTTCTTATGCGAGCAGCGATAGCACGTTGCCTGTAATGTAAACAATCATGATGATGTATGAGTATGGCGTAAAATCGCATTAAGAGTAATACACTTGCGTGAGATTGACCCGCTTTGGGGTGCCAGTAGTTCCAGAGGTTTGAAGTAAGAATGCAGGAGTCTCAGGATCAACCTTTGGTAAGCAACCCTCAAGGTAATCTTGAGTATAGTCGCTTAAAAAATGTAGTGGGGTCTCCTCCAAGGATTGATCTTTTGCGTTAATTGACAACAACGGTACATCGGGTTTGCCACCATCCCATACTGCAGCAATAGTGCTCAAGCTGTCAGAATGTACAACCACTGCTTTGGGTGATACACTCTCAAAAACGCCTTGTACCTCATCCAAGGATGCTCCAGGTTTCACAACACATGCCGCACAGCCTATGTAAAAGAGTGGCATAGTTAGCTTAGCTGACGATTATAAGGAGTACATTTGTGGTAGCCAACCTGCAACGGCGACGCCATACATAATTGTTGGGCTCTCAACCTATTATGCATGATGCGAGATTAGTATCGGCTGTCACACCATCTAATCAAGTAATACATACATCCTCAGGAATACAAACAACAACGACATCACCTTCTTGTAGATTGAAAGGTTCACGATGTAAGGCCATTGCCAAGGATCGCACTTTGCGTTTCAATTCAGCAAACGTCTGAAAATGATCAGGATTCATAGCATCCAAAATCAATGGCTCATCATCCTTGACATAACGTGCATCGCTGCTTTCAAAAAGCTCTTTGTAAATTATACTGGCTTGAGCATCTGGTGGAATATCAGCTGAAAGCATCCTCGAAGATGATGAGTATTACTATTGAAAAGAGAAGAATGGGTGAGAAAAGTAGATCGGCAAAGCATGAACCAGCGGATATGTTATATAGGATGGCGACGTGCAAACAATAATGCACGTGATCGTATCTTGCTAATACAAGTGGCTCTATATCCTGTATCTAGGAGTATGTGTTTGTTGCCATCCATTGGAACTTCTTAGTAGCGCGTTTTTCTTTATTCCTCTTTCAGGGACAAAGCAGCACAAGGGATGCATCTTGTTCAAATATCCATCAACATTGTAAACAACACTGTTTCAGCACTGTACAGTTAGTTGCTTGAATACGCAGTTTTGTTAAGTAACCATTTATAGCCCCTGCCGCATTCAAAACATGAAGACCACAATAGTGGATAACAACTCGAGCGCCCAATGCCAAACAAACGAGCATAGGATTGATGCACACTGGCAACTAACGCCATCAACTTGATAATAGAGGGATGGACTTTTCAATCGAATGCATGCACCATCTTATTAGGTGATGCCCCGGGGTCATCATCCAACATCGTGCCACGTGATCAAAATCAGGTATCTCTTTCTTCCCGAAACCCCACACTCAGCGCACTCTCGCTTTGCCATGTCCACCTCCAACAATGTCGTGAATAACAATGAGTAGGTTCATTTCAAACTTCATTCAGTGACCAACGTCAAGGACAACAATCTTATGCTTTTTATTCTAGCGCAACTCGACTTATTATACAGTTTTTACGCGAGAACAACCTCACCAAGACGCTTGAAGTATTGCAGGACGAGACGGCGACTACATTCAACACCATCGAAGACAAGGATGCCTTTGTCAACGACATTGTGGAAGGCAAATGGGACGTTGTATTACGCACTCTTGGAGATATGAAGATCGCACCAGAGCATCTCTTTGATCTCTATGAACAAGTATGACAAGCCAATGCCACCTGTCAGACACTAGGACTTACCGATCGGCAGTAGATTGTTATGGATATGATCGAGCTCAAAGAATATAGCACGGCACGTATGCTAGTCAGCAGCACAGAGCCTCTCAACGCGCTTCGAGACCAACAGCCTGAGCGATATGTACGGCTAGCCGAGATGGCTGATAAGGAGATATTCATTGATGATCCAGCAATGGAAGACGAAGATATGACCAAGATCGAACGACGACAAAGGATTGCCAAAGGTACAAACAGTGTGAGGGTTGTGGTATCAATATTGACAGAGTGGTCGTAATAGATCTCCTCAAGCAATTTGAAATCGTTCCATCATCACAGCTGTTGGCACTCTTGGGTCAATCCTTGAAATGGCAACAACATCAAGGCGTAATTCCACCTGATACTGCATTTGATCTTTTCCGTGGTACGGTCCCGGTTCAAAAAGCTGAAGATGACGCCGTAGCATCACAAATGTATAGCACAATCAAGGTAATTTACACTTTCATATCCAAAGCATTGCTTGATGTTTACAAGGTATGCACAATTTTATAGTTTCCTGGCAAGAAGGCATATGCCGAAGTGGCTGTATTTTCACCAAATGGGCAATACCTCGCTACAGGAACAGCGGATGGCTTTATTGAGTTGTGGAATTATCTTACGGGGAAGTTGCGTAAGGATTTGAAATACCAAGCTGAGGTAAGTTTACTTTTGTTGAAAAGGGCCTTAGGGTGGTTGTCCTCATTCTGAATATGTAGGATCGTTTGATGGCTATGGATAAAGCGGTGCTATGTTTGAGCTTTAGCCGAAACAGCGAGCTTTTGGTCTCTGGATCGGATGATGGCAAAATTGCAGTAAGTTTGGGTGCCACTCGTGTACTTGACAGCCGAGGTTAATCATGGGAATATCAGGTCTGGAAGATTCAAAGTGGAATTTGTCAAAGGCGGATATCACCAGCACATAGCCAAGGTGTCACGGCCGTATGCTTCAATAAGGATGGAACACAAGTGTTGAGTGGCAGCTATGATCAAACCATCAAGATCCATGGTCTCAAATCAGGGAGAGCTCTCAAGGAATTCCGTGGACATTCTTCGTTCGTCAACAGTGTCATGTTTGCAGAGGATGGATCACGTGTATTAAGTGGTAGCAGCGATGGAACTGTCAAAGTAAGCATTAAAAGAGGGGGTTGACATGTGACAGGACCACTAATGGATATGTAATCTAGATTTGGGATGCAAAGACCACCTCTTGTCTTCTTACTTTCACGCCACAATCAACAGCAGAGCAAGTCAAAGGCACTCCAAATCCTGTAGGTGCTGCAGCACTTACTAGCCATACGGTGCAGGCCATCGTTGGATTGCCAAAGACCAGTGAACAAATACTAGTGTGTACCAAGAGCAATACCCTTTACTTGATGTCGATGCGTGGAAAGCTGATCAAGGCGTTCACACACCAAAAGAAGGCTGGGTCTGACTTTGTGGCTGCCGGTGTGTCTCCTCAATGTGAATTGGTGTATGGCCTTGGTGAAGACTCGACGCTCTATTGCTTTCAAGTTTCAACGGGCAAATTGATCAATGAGAACAAGCTTTGTGATCATGAAGCTGTTGGCATGACATGCCATCCACAAGCCAACGTTGTTGTTTGTCATGATGATATCGGCCATGTATATTTCCTTCGAGCATAGTCAACTTAAATAAACGGCACATCGATTGAAAGAAGATTGGAGACTTTTATTGATTTTATGCAGGTGGTATAAGAGATTATATGCAAAGTAGTACATAGGCTATGTATGAAATGTTACGTGAGGATCACAATAAAGGTATCGTTCTCAAGTGCATATCACATGTGCTTCAGGGGCAGTTTTCGTAAAGTTGATCAATGCATGTGACAGCAATGACATTACCCTCGACGTTAGCCAAATGGAAAACCGCTTTGAGAATAGCCGAAACACCTTGACCAGCAACCAAACCTGCTGCGACCGCATACATGTAGTCTGTGTAATGCTCTGGAAAGAAGCGCTTCCAAATCTTACCCGAAGACCAGCCAATAAACATGGATAGTGGAACATTGGGTGTTGAATTAACCATAGCAAGACCAACGACAGCGAATGATGGGAAGTACTTACGCCAGCGTTTGGGCCAAGCAAAATCACGTACAACAGGGCCTAGTACACCAACAACCGCCAATGCACAAGTGACAATGATGCATGTCTTGGAAAGAGAAGCACCACCAGTAACCAGCTGTGTGACACTCATCCAAGCCCATACACCACTAAGAGCAAATTCACATTCGGCATTGACATCCATATCAACAATGCAAGGATAAGCATCTGTGAAAAGAATAAACAAGCCAAGTGCAATACCGATAGCAAAAAACGAGCCAACAACTTGTGCAAGGAATTGAGATCGAGGAGATGCGCCAACAATTTGACCAGCCTTGAGATCACCAACCATGTCAACGGATTGTGAGGCAGCAGAGGCAGTGATATTACCGGCCATGAGGTTGTTCTTTTGAATCGTGGAAATATCAGGTCCAGGCATACCAGCAAAGATGAGCTGAGACATCTTTGCACAACTTCCAGTAGGATTGATATCGGTCTCGCCAGCAGCTTGAATACCAACAAAGGACATTATGAATGCCAAAATGACCGATACAATTGTTTGGTATACAGGCATGCCAAAGTATTCACCCATGATGGCGCATGTAAAGATCACTGTCAACACCAATCCTGTCATCCACCACCAAGCTGGCACAAGTTCATCAATGCCATAGATTTCATCATCGTGCAAATTGGGTCGTCGCAACGAGTATTCGGTAGGTCGTCCACGGATAAATCGATACACATGCATCACGCCACGTTTGAGAAAGCTGAAAAGCTCCAAAACACCACCACGCAAACCACGATAGAGACTATCATATCGCACGAATAGTTCCGAAAATGATGCAAGCACAAGCATTGCAATGCCAGGCCACAAAAAGAAGGAACGTGCTGTGTCGCCATTATCCACAAACCCATATGCCTTGACAAAGAAGCCGCTTGATACAAGGTATGGTCCAATGATGCCATATACAATAATAGTCGCAATCAAAAACGGCAACACCACTGTTCCAGGAGTCATGAGCCCTGCACCATAAAATGGGAAATCAAATTTGAGGACCCACAGCCATGTTGCATCAGCCGCCATCATGTTGCCGTATCCTGCCGCATGTCCGATCCACCAAAGAATGTGCACTGATAAGATAAAAGATCAAGGTCAGCGATCCCGATCATCCGCTTATGACGTTTTTAGCGCCATATTCTTATACTTACATGTATCAAAGAAAGGTACAAAGTACGCAATAATGCCCCACGTAAACGAAATCACGAACCAGATTGCCATCCACTTTGCTTTCTTGAACCCACTTTTCTCACCGTCGGTAGAGCGATGCAAGGAAATGATCGTTGTTGCTGCTGCACGAGGTGTTGGGAATGTCAAGTCCTGCTTGACAACAAAATGACGACGTAGCGGTATAGCAAAGAATAGACCATAGAATGCAGCCGAGATGGTGAACAACGTTAAAGCAACAATGTCTTGTCGTGGGGTTGTCATCAAACCAAGCTTGTAGAGAGCCGGGATAGCTGAAATAAAGCCACTGAATAAACCACCTATATGGATTGATAGAAAAAGAACCGTGAGATTGTGTAACCAAGAGATTAAAGATTACCACCTACCAGCTGTGGTTGCAGCAGATTGGGCCGTGACATTTTCTTTGGGACCAAAGTAACCACCACCCAAGGCTTCAGGTAAACGAGTTGACAATGGACGAATAATAGCAAATGAAAAGATAGCACCAAAGATACCAGCACCAAAGGTAAAACCCACTTTGAGACCAAGGTAAGTGTTCGAAGCCGCTACAAAGTGATAAAACAGAAAAGCCAGGTGATGTGTTAGTGGGCCCTGAGTAAGGCGCATATATGTGTAACGTCGCACCCCGCATGATGAAGAACACACGTACCAACAAAGCAACCAAGAAGGGATCCAATGATACATGATCGCCATGTAAATTGGTGCGTCTCAATTTTATCACCATCTTCACGAGGCAATAATGGCTCATCTCGATCCATCACCTCGAGTTTAATCTGTTGTTGCTTTTCATTATCCTGCTCATGTTTCTTTTCTTCCGCCACATCAAGCGTTTTCTCTTCCACACCAAGCTTCTTTTCTTCCATAGGCACACAAGGGAACAAGGGAGGACGTAGTTGAATGTAAATTTAAGCAAGTATAGGGAAGATCCGGATTATGGGTGTAGGGTGGAAGAATAAAAGGAGCAGAAAGACTATTCCTCCCAGATCCATTTTATAAAGAAGTACCTGAGATAGAATCGCAAAGAAAGAGAGTCACCAACCTGTCGACCAGCTCAGCGCATTCAGCTTCGGTGATCTCTTCTTTTCTCAACCTTATATATATACTCACTTTTCATTGCGCCCATGGCTTTCCCACTATTATAAATACTGATATGGCGTCAACACATTATAAGTCTCGTGCCTGATGTCATGCCCAAGCACCTGCAGAAATTTTTCACCATGTCCAAAAATTTTTGGCAAAGGGTCAAAGGAAAAGGTGCAACCATTGTGCGAGTAAATCTTACGTTGTACAAGATGGTGGGATTGCGTTACACTCGGAAGTGGGGTTTCAGGTCTTTTATTGAGACCATGTCGTGGTCGATTGTTAGTAGGAGGTAGTAGTCTATGATTGCGAAAGGTGCCGAGTACGTATTATCGTACAATGGCTGATTGGTCCAAACATGCGTGTGTGGGACACAGATGTAGATGGAAGCACATGGATGGATGAAAAAAGAAAACGGGAGCAAGTTTGAGACATTGAGTATACAATAGCGAGCTGTAGATATGGTGTGTACTAGCAGCCATTGTCTTTTTCGGTTATCCTCCTCCTCCAACAGCCGCCGCACGACCATGATGACTGACCCAGTCCTCCGTCCTATCTCAATTAAACTTTGCAAGGGTCCTCGTGGTGGCTATGCTGCATCTGGTTGTAGTAGTGTAGTTACGGCTTGCATTTGCTATCAGCATTTCCATAAACATCACCGATAATGCATGACATTATCGTTATCGTTGTTGAAAATTCTCACAGCTCCTTCTTTTAGTTGATCTGTACAAGTTTTTTCCATGTGGGTGTAGCTGCCAGAGCATAAAAACCTAATCTGCTCGAAGCGCTTTGGCATGTAAAACATGGTTGCACAACGATTGTTCGGCAGTGGAGCTTGTCATGAAGGAGTCGCCTTTGAACCAATCCGATGAAGTACTTCTTTTACTGCTTTTGGCTTTGTCTTCCGAAAACAAAGAGGGATCCCAGAGGCTAAATAGAAGGCTCGGATGGGTACATGTTCTTTTTTTTTACCTCTCATCCATTTTGCTAAAGGATTGCTAGTAGCAAGGCTTACCCATTCATGAAAGATGGATTGTCTTGGCATACGCTTGTGCAGCGTACGTGTAATTTTTTTCAACAAGCGGGTATGCTGGGCTACGAATAGATCCGAATGATCGGAAGAGGTTGTCGTCTTTCAACCTACATCCACCGACTCAATCGAACAAATCAAATGGCCACCTTTGAATCTTTCCCATCATGCTATCGTTCGGGTACCAACTCCTTAACGTGCCTGAGAAACTAAAAAACTTGCTACTGTTAATTGGGACAAGCTTTGTTTACTAGGCATGCCCTCACCTTGCCACGTGACCAAAATGGGATGCATACATTATAGGTATAATGAGCTTGCTGCAGGGTAAAAGTGAGAACAATACATGCCTTGTGAGGTATCACCTTGAGCTAACAATGAGCCCTAGCAAATAGCTTTAATATGGTTTCTCCTTTACCTCCAATCACTCATTGTGCCTTTCTTAGCTTTCAGCGGGTATGTTTCACTCATTCAGCATCATCCAAAATCAGGCTGTGGCTACAGCAAAATGTAATAATATCTCTGGTAGGGTTGCCATGGAGATCATCATGATGATGGCTTGGTTATTTTGGGCAGCTCCCCACGTGCCACCACAAACAAAGAATTATCACTTGAATGGCTGATTCGTATATATGGAATCGAGAACAAAGAAGCGTGAGTGGTGGTGCATTACAATGGAATGATGGCTGAGCGTCTTTGGTCTGCTTTATGCAAAAGATTATTGCCATGCCTTTGTTACACAGGATGCAGTATTTAACTGTCACAAGACCGTGCTAGAGCTTTCGATGCATTCAACGGCTCTTAGGTACGTAGATGAATGCCATGATGAGTAAATGCCCTTGTTCACAGGTAACGTAATGCTTGTTTTTGCTCTTTTAGATTTCCCTTGTGTACCAAACATCATGCCAAACGTTTCCAGAAAAGAATGGATGGCATTACAAAGCGTATGGCACATACACACATAGGCATGTGAGTTCCACCTTTGGCGGATGACACATGTATCATGTATTTGGGTGATTGATGGCGTACTCGAAAAAGGCATTGATGAAGCGTTGACAATGTGGGATTGCTCGTAAGCAGCTGTTGAGTAAAGGCGATCAAAATGGGGTAGGCGGGGATGTATGGATGAGCAGTAGTATGCCATAATCAATACCTGTTTGCAACAAGGATGGGCTCGACGCGATCTTTGTATAGGATCATGTGCAATGCTTAGTGTGTATATATGACTACGCACAGAGATCTTTGTGACGATATTATGTTTTGCAGGGATTGTTATTGTGTTGTGTGGTCGCATTTCGGAACGCTGTAGCCGGCATCCAATCGTGAGTAAGTCAGCAGAGCATTGGGTTTGCATAGCACGAGGGTGATCGATAGCATAGTGGATGCAAGATTAAACATTGCCCGCCATAGTTCTAACAAGAAAAAGAGAAGATTGCATCTGTGATTTGTATGTTGTGCTCAAAGATGCCCCTTTTTGCCACAAGTCTACCGAGACGAATACACACAGAACCTAGAAGGGAGTATGTAACAGGGTATGCGTGTGTGTGTGTCTTAAAGTTAACCCCGTTATCAAACATGAAAACAATAAAGGATAGCTGTGGATGATAAGTGGCCGCTTTTATTTTCTTTTTTTGCTTCTTTTTTCCCATCCTTGCTGCTCTTTTATCTTGCCATATCAAATGCCAATGGCTTGTCCTTCTTTAAGTGCCATGACCATCCATTTAGATGAAAGCAGCTTTGCACGTCAGCCGTACTCCTCTATATTGATCACTGGATTTCTCGAGTCAAAAGACTACCGTATGCAATACGATAGCAGCAGCCAATTATCGTTTGTAGGCACACAGCACGTGGGATCAAAAGACCACTCACCAACGTCGGCGATCACTCTATACAAACACATGCAAGCTATCAATTGCTGGGAATACAACGCGATCGATGATAGCTATTATGCACCCTTTTGCTTTCGGATACCCGGTCACTTACCACCCACTATTACAGCAAACAATGTCGTGATCCAATACAACGTGATGGCAACAACAGCGGCTGCAGGAATGGAAAACAACAACAATCCCCACTCTGTAACATCAACAACGATATCAACAGCATCGACGACAACAACAATGTGCCACCCTGTTGAGCTCATTGATACCAGCTTGTCGGTTGCAGAAAAAAGCTTATTATTTCTGCCACGCTTGTATTGGGGAACATCATCGTCAAAGAGGTGGCGATATGAAATCGAGATCCCAAGCATGATACCCTTGACCACATTTGACAAAGAAGAGAGTGGAACATCCAATAATAGTAGCATTGTGAATGCATTGGTTGTGCGTGTTCAATCATGTTGGAACAACGAGGACAAAACACAGACGAAACTTGAATATGGTTTGATTGGTTGTCAAATCATCGAGTCTATTGGGACCGAGGCAAAGTGTAGTAAACCCATTAAAGAAGGAGGGTAAGTAGTATGGAAAACAAAAAGAATCCAAAGAGGGAGAAAGATGTATACATGTAGACTAAAGCTTTTATATGTTCATGTTGCTACTAGGAGCGTTGCCATGGTCACCACGCATGTACTACCTTCTCCCCGCCAGACTTGGAGATCTCCATGTCGTTTGCCGTTAACTTCGTTTCCTGAACCACCATCACCAACTTTATCAAGTGACTTCGTTACCATTCGCCATCAACTCTTTTTAACGCTCTCGTTTCATGATACCCATCACCAAGCTGATCGTGTTGAGCTTTCAGTGCCAATCACGCTTCTTGATACCCGCCGTTTGATGCATCAACCACAGCATAAGCCTCGTCCCACGCGACTTGCCATTCCTGTAAAACCACATGCAAGTACGACAAATAGTGCGAGTAGTAGTAGCAGCGATGATGGCGACAGCCGTGATAGTGGTGTTTGGCTAACCAGCTGATAATCGCGCTTTTTATTATGAAACACCCACTTTTTACAGCATTGTTGCATTCATCCGCCATCATAATCAACCGCTCCCCTCAACGTATATCCATTGTACATAATATAAAACCACCACGCTCATTCATGCATAATGAGTTGCTGTCATTTTCCAAAGAGACACTTGCACATGCAGACACGCACGCATACAAGGGTGGTATGATGTTTGGGGGGTCATGCAAAAATGTTTTACATCCAAGGAGGTGTGATCATTCATTGCGTGTTTGAGGATAATTCACGCGATCGCGTATTTGTTTTGAAGGAAATAGGGTTTCAGCTCGAATGGAAAGAAAACGACAAATCTTGGAACAGCTTTATATATAAACATGCTTTTTTGGAGGCGTTAGGGGATGAATGTAGATAACATTTTGCAGAACTAAAAGGGATAGCGAGACAAAAAGGAGGAAGCATGTGATGTCATGGTTATGTTTGTATACATGTCGGTGCGTGTGGTGCATGTGTTATATGCCTGTTGTATGAGTATATATGGTGGTGTGTGCGCGCGCGGGTGGTGGGAAGAAATGGTTGTGGATTAATTGTTTATGCCAGCTGAGTGATTTGATCGGGCGTGTCGATCTTGTTCAAAAAGTGTTCATGGGAGCCATCAGTCTTAGCGCTGTGGTAATGACGGAGCAAGGTATCAACGTCGTCCAAAGACAATGGCCGGATATCGGCAAGCTCCTTAATCTTTGTGGTAACCACCTTGGCATCCTCATCCTTGAGATCGGTCAATTGAAGTTGCTCGATACGGTTCTTGACTGCATTCCAGCCAGTAAGACGATGACCAATGCTAACGTATCGTGACATGCCAAAGTCTTCAGGCTTCAAGATCTCATAAGTGCTACACAAAGAATGGGCATTTAGCATTCTTGGATTGCCATATTTGTGTTCCTTTTCGCCCATCAAAAAATTACCTTGGGTTGTTCAAAATGGCCTTGGCGTGGATGCCAGCCTTGTGAGTGAAGGCACAGTAACCAGTGATGTAGTTGTTGAAGGGCACAGTAACCTCGACAGCATCAGCAACAATGTTCTCAACATCACGAATAGCCTTGAGGTCGTACTTGTTCATGACGTAGCCCTTGTCAGCAGCGTACATGCGAGCCAACAAACCACCAAGAGGGGTGATACCATTACGTTCACCAATACCCAAGACCGAGGTATCAATGTGAGTAGCACCTGCTTCAAGAGCTATAATACAAATATGTCATCAGTATTTGATCCTGATTATCTCAATCTCCATTTGGTTCCCCGCCATTTTCCAGATGTCCAGAATTGTTCCATCTCCTCCTGTGCATGATCTTTTTGGATCTCCACCGCCACCAGTGCGCGCCACGCCACTTCACATTCTCCGATCCAAAGAATCAAACTTACCAGCATAGGCGTTGGCAATAGCACAACCAGTGTCATTGTGGAAATGGCATTCGATATCACAGCTTACGACACTACGCAAAGTCTTGACGAGCTCGTATACTTGACGAGGATTGGCACAGCCAACGGTATCAGCAATACCAACACGATTGACACCAATTTTGTCGACAGCCTTGTAGATGCTAAGGAGATCCACCAAATCGGAACGGAAGGAGTCCTCAGTGGAGAAACGCACCTCAAGACCTTGTTCCTTGACATAGGAAATCACCTCAATGGCACGCTCAGTAATGTAATCCATATCCTTGCCATGTGAAAATTCACGAAGGTAACTTGAAGTACCAATGACCACATCCAAACCATCCACACCAGTGTCAATAGCCAATTTGGCATCATCCATGTGGCATCGTACGTGTGTCAAGATCTTGGCCTTCAAGCCGAGGTTGGAGATGGCCTTGCAGTCGTTGCGAGATTGCTCTGAAGCAGCAGGGGATGTCAATTCAAGGTAATCAACACCAATAGCATCCAAAGCTTTGGCGATTTCAATCTTCTTTTCAGTGCTAAAGAAAGCATTGGCAAATTGTTCACCCTCTATAAAATGCATAAACAAAAGTAAGTACATGATTCATGATTAAAAGATGCTGCTGCTTACCGCGCAAGGTAGACTCAATGATCTTGAAGTTGGAGATATTGGAGTTTGGATCGGGGTACTTGGGCATGTATGGCGAGACGATGGGCTCACGAGGGCGTTCAGAGTCGTTAGTTTGAGCTGGAGGCATGTTGTATAATTGAAGAGTTGGGAGAGAGAAAGAAGTAAATCTAAAGTACGTTATCAAAGCGATCCCTTTTATTATATAAATGGTCAGCATAGAGATTATCGAGATGGATAGTCACGATACCACCAGCTCTGGGCTGTCATCTCTGATCTCCTTCGCCGATTCTGATTCGCCAATTCCATCGGGCCCATTTGGACTCATCGACGAAAAAGGCAATCCTTCCTGATCCCAAATCATCATGCGCATCATCAATAATCACACTATGCGGGAATCACATTCAAGGCGGAAATTAATCTTTCGCGCATACTTTTATGTGCAAGTACGATACAAAATGACTCCTATCAGCATTTGGGAAACGTGCCGTTGTTCACTTGGATTTGGAGAGGGATGGTTTGTGATGGCTCTTCAGGACCAGGGGCTGTTTGATTGGGACTCAATGCTGCGTAATTGGGTGAAACAACCAAAGAAAATCCATACTGGGCTGTGTTGTATCGAGAGAAAAAATGGCATCCAGGCAACTTCCATGTCGACGTATACTGCTTGTTTGATATACCAGCAGGTGCTGAATCAGCTGCTAATCCCGATATTACATTGATTCGCAATGTATTGGAGTCGTTGTTGCGCTGTTGCCACTGAAAGTCCACGTTGATGGAGTTGGGATAATACGGATTGCTGATACCGACTAGCCGGTGTTACACCTTATTATTCAGCTCTCGGATACCATCTCATTCATGCAATTAAAGTAACTCACCCGTTTGTGCACCCACAACCGTATATTGGAACACATTGTCGGTGTTGCTACCCAACACTTGGTTGCTAGCAGGGCTGTTGACTTGAATAAGGCCATCCGCTGATACTGGGCGGGATCCAAAAAAGGACACAATGGATAATAGAACAATGAATTTAGGGAAGAAACCAAGAAGCATATACGTAAAACGAGATAATAAAGTAAAGAAGAGAAAAGAAAAAAGGTCGATTCAAGGATGGAGACATTGATTGATCCCACTAACATCCTCCAAATGAGGGGGCCCCCAAGTTCAACCCCTGAGGATCAAGCATCTGCTCAATATCTGTGTTGCGATTGGATAATCCATGTGAGCCTAATGCAAGTAGCAATGGCTGATGACAACAAACGGCATTCACGTTGGTAGGCGCAGTTCTCGCTGTACGATGTATTGATTGTGTGATTGCGTGTATCAAAAGTTTAATTTTTTTGTTGATGCAAATGAGGATATTTTTAACTCGCTTATTGCTGTTGCTCTGCCATTTCCTACAAAGATAGCAACACATCCATGTGAGCAAAATACTGCTATATATCCCATTGTCACCCATTTCATTTATACCTGAGCAGCCTCCGCACTCATACCACCGCCTTGTGGACCCTTGTTCTTTGAAAGACCAGAGACGATATCATCCACACGCAACAACAAGCATGCCGACTAGTTGTATTTTTGGGTTAATATCAAACACAAAAAGGAATAGCATCAATCACATACCTCAATAGCAGTCTTAATCGTTTGAAGCTTAACAGCAGTTGGCTCCCAGATACCATAATCCTTCATATCAACCACCTTGCCAGATTCACCATCGATACCAAAGCTGTGTTCACCGTTTGCGTGCTTGGCTCGCAGCTGAGTGAGGATCTTGATAGCATTGCCACCACAATTTTGAACAAGTGTCCGGGGAATAACTTCCATAGCCTCTGCAGCAGATCGGTATGGCCATTGCTCAACGCCTTCCAACAACTTGGCCTTCTCTTCCAACTTGACAGACACAGCCATCTCAGTGGCGCCACCACCAGGGGCAAGCTTAGCATTGAAGAACACGTTACGGGCAACGCACATAGCATCTTGGAGATTACGTTCAACTTCGGCAATGATATCTTTGCTAGGACCACGCAAGATGATGGAGCATGCCTTGGGATCCTCACACTTGGTCAAGAAGGTGAAGTACCTATTAACACAATTAGTGAGTCTCTTGTGATACGCACACATTGCTCTTGTTTTCATGTAACATACTCATCACCAATCTTTTCAATGTTGAAGAGACCACACTTGGTGCCGACATCAGAGTCCTTAAGATCATCCACTCGGTTAACAATGGTAGCACCAACAGCACGAGCAATACGGTTGTTGTCAGTCTTGCGTACACGGCGAATGGCTGTGATGTTAGCCTTCACAAAGTAGTGTTGAGCCAAGTCTATAAATATCCAATGTCAATATTGAAAATGAAATAAAGATGTGTGATGAGTGACTTACCAGAGACACCCTTCTCGGTGAAGACAAGATCAGGCTTAAGTTCAATGATTTTGTCGCACATAGCCTTGACTTGTTCTTCCTCAATCTCCAATATCCTGTTCCAGTCGGCTTCCTTGGTAATCTCAATGTTGGTCTGCGATTCACCCTTCTTGTATTCGAGAGGGCAATCAAGTAAAACGACACGAGGGTTCTCAATGCGACGGCGCATCTTGGGGTGGGTAACATCCTTGTTGAGGATAACACCATCAAGCACACGTGATTCTTCAATTTCACCACCGGGAATCTATATATGACACACCCATTTAGAACATCCAACACTCATGAAATAGTGTAATGATTACCTTTTCAACACGAGCATAACGCTTAAGATCCACTTCACGGCGACCAGTGCTTTCCTCAACCATGGCAACTGTGCGAACGGAATCCAAAGCAAGCTTGCACATCAAATCGCTCCACTGGCTGACAAACTTGGTACCAATGGATGACTTGATCAAGGAGAGCATTTCTTCGTCACTGTTGACATCGACAGGAACAGAGATTTCTTCAACGATTTGCAAAGCATCTTCGAGAGCCTTCTTGAATGCACTGATGATGATGATAGGATGGATGTTGTTTTGAATGTGAGGGAGGGCTTGAGCAAGCATTTCACCGGCTACACGAAATTGGGTACGTTGGTGTCATCATCATCATGATGGATCATAACATGCCATACAACAACAACTTACCGAGAACAATGACACTGGTAGTACCATCACCAACCTCTTCATCTTGTGTTCTCGAGAGCTCGATCATGCTCTTGGCTGCAGGATGGCTCACTTCAATCTCACGCAGAATAGCGTTGCCGTCGTTTGTCAACAAGATACCACCCATAGGATCCAACAACATCTTTAACATGGCACGTGGACCAAGACTGGAGCGAATGATATCAGAAACGGTCTATGGAATGGGATAGTTGGGTGAGCGAGATGCCGTCATCGCGAACACGTTATCCCTCGATTACCTTGGCAGCAGTAATGTTTGAGATCTGCGCCTTGCGGCCGGATTCTCGTTCCATGTTGGTATCTATAACGATGCCGCATTAGAACAAAGCACGAGACGAGTGCAATAAACGACGATGCCTTACTCATCACAAGGACTGGTGCGGACATCTTGAAGTAGGTGGGTGTCAAAGGGTGAAAAACGTGAACGTCGCGATGACAGGTGTTCCTCTCCTCTAAATTTTGACTGGCCGACACCCACCACCACCATGACAAAGGCACATGGTCACACAATTGAATGAAGCCACGCTTCTCAACATGTCATGCATAGGCAATTATCATCCATTGTGCGTTATTCGTATAGAGTACATCCACTTTGTACCTTTTTTCATCCATGACAACCATCACGATTCGTAGAACGCTTGTTCAAATCCAATAAAAACATATTCATACATATTGTACCATCGCCAACAACAAGCATACAAATCAATGTGATAGAAAGCATTCAGATTGTTGCATATATAGTACAACTTTGTGCGTGACAAGCAAGGTTACCATGATATCCCCTTCTCTATTGGGTGCTAGCAAACGAGAAAAGCTTTTCATTCTTGGACACGAAACCCAAGGCTAGCAATTATTATGAAGCAAGCAACCAAGTAGCAGTAACCAGATCAACCGCTACACTTCTAATCATTACTTTATAGGACCCCTCTATTGCACAAGAAGAGGTAACCATCTTAACTTCGCACTAGCAGAGTTCTTTAGAAAGCGATTGTTGTGTGTCATAAATGAATGCATAAAGTGAAAAGATACAACATCATAATCCTACTCGATATCTCGATAACCTCTAACGCAATGTAATGCTAAGGGATCATGGGGGCTCTAGTTGAAAATTCAAGTGACGGCGTGTTGACAGCAGTAGTGATGTGGAGAAGCATGATCGGCTTTTAAGGGACCACTTCTTCATTCCGATTACATATGGCAACCAGGATATTGGTATGGAAACGACGATCTGAATACCCAACAAGGCTCTAATCGTATACTGTTAGTTTGTCGGTCTTGGCAATTACAACCTTCCCAACACTCGCCACAATGCGGGTATGATGATCTTGGACCACCTTGCCAATGCTCTTGAATTGCGATGGATTCCACACAAGCCTTGGAAAGCAACGATTGCCCAGACGACCTTGAGTCTTCCATTCGAACCAAAGCACCCTGATCAGCAAAAGCAGGTCGAGTTGACGTTATTGAAACCAAGGTTACTTATGAATGTCTCTGGTCCTTCGGTTGCACGAGCTGGTAAACAAGATTCTCCTCTTGGATGCACATAGCCAATCCATATGCTGACAACATTCTATTAGTGCGTGATCTATCCATCCCTGGTTCAAGTGTGTATATATTCCAAGATGATTTACAGCGTGAATTGGGCAAGGTATCTCTCAAGGCATCTGGATCTGCGAATGGTCACAATGGCATCAAATCGGTGATTGATCATCTTCGAAGCGATGAGTTTTGGCGTGTTCGTTTGGGTGTTGGTCGTCCTGAATCAAGAGATGTCAATGACGTGAGTGACTATGTGCTCTCCAAATTCACTCCCCCCGAGGTGGCATTGCTCGAACAAAAAGTGTATCCATTGCTTGGCGTGGGTCCTGGTCTTGGATTGGAAACACTGGTGATAAAACAACAATTATGGCGACCACCACAACCACCCAAGAAGAAGAAGAAAAAGCAAAAATCACAAGAGGAATCCCCATCTGAAAGTGAAGTCGACCTTGGAAAGAAGGAAGGTACCTCGCCGTCATCTGCTGAGGACGAAAAGGCAGCAACCACCGCATAATTGTAGATAGGATCAATCAATGCATTAGAAGTTTACATATACCAATCATCAGTAAAGGATAATGGGAAAGGGATTTACCTGTTAGAGCATAATGAAAAACCGTGTTTGATATCTTGAGGGTCTCGCTTATGATTAATAAGCAGCTTTTAGGATACTTGGATCAGTCGCTGGTATGCTATTGTAAGTTCATTGATCCATAGAGGGGTAAACCTAATATAGGATCATCCACCCTTGTAAATGTTGTACTTATTGAATGAAGAGGAACAAAGACTATCTTTGTATCAAGGACACAAAGAATAAACACGTGGAGCTGTGGCCTTAAGGATATCAAACATAAGGGGAAAGGGATCAATCAAACAATGAAAACCAATGCGCATAAAGAACAAACACGTGACCAAGATGATCTCGAATAGAGTTTATTGAAAATGATGTGTATAGCCAAGAGCAACGAACCCATGCTTTTATATGCTCGCGTTTATCTCATGCATCCATCCCATGTGATTGGTTCGGGATTATCGACAACCCTCTTTTTCCTTGCATCCAAATCATTTTCCCATTTCTCTTTCCAACATGTGTCAGTTTTGTGGTGTCGACCCGGCTTTTGCAGCCTATTTCGATGATCCTAGCAACAACCAAGAGCAACAGCAACAACAACAGGAAGCTACTGCACCTTCAGCACCTGTAGCTGGAGACGGCAACAATCCAGCTCCCAACTTTTTCCGCCTCAAGCCGACCAACCCGCGTTACCAGCAAGCTGGAGGTCGCATTACCACTCAACAACTCACCACATTTGGTTCTTCATTATCTCCCAATGCTCAAGTCCTCATGGGTCATCATGGTCAACCTTACACCGATGCACTGCAACGTTGGTCTAAATGTGCCGTGAAACACGCGTTGGCTGTTATCAAAGTTGCTTCTGCTGAGGATGTTCGCAAAACGGTATGATATTGGGCGATAAGGATAAGCAAGCAGCATCATGACTCATATGCCATTAGATCATCATGTGCCAGAGCCATGGCTTGCCATTTGTCGTGAAATGTGGTGGACACTCGCCAAGTGGTCAATCCAGCATTGAAAACGGCATCGTCATCGATCTTAGTCAGCTGAACCAAGTATTTGTCAAGCCCGATGAAAAGCAGATCGTTGCAGATGGTGGTGCATTAGCTTCGCACGTGATTAAAGCTGCTTCTGAGTATGGATTAGCATGTGGTATGGATCAATGGTCAGTGAATGGGAGTAGCCAGTGATTACTAATACGCATGATAGTGACGGGATCAACGAGCCATGTTGGTATTGGTGGATTAATGCTTCATGGTGGCTATGGCTACTTGACAGGCGAACACGGGTAAGAATATCCTATAACGCAATCGTTGTCCGCCATGCTCAATACGGGATTGCTGCTATAGACTTGCAGTTGACAACATTCTCGCAGCTGAGGTTGTCACCTCCAAGGGTCAAATTGTATGGGCAAGCAAGGAGGAAAATGAGGATTTGTTTTGGTGCATTCGAGGTGCAGGTAACAAGTTTGGTGTTGTAACCAAGGTACGTGTTACATGGATGTTGGCATGACAACCAAGTTTTAATTTGATGATGTTTTTAGTTTATCATCCAAGCACATCCTGTTTCGAGCACAGTATGGGGAGGCAGTTTGGTGTACACGGGTGATCAATTGGAGCAATTAGTCGAAGCAGCAAATACATGGTACGCCAAACATGATGTCAAGGCAGCAGCAGCCATTGCTATTGGTAAAGGTGCTGATGGCAAAGCTGGATTTACGGTGCTTCCTTTCTATGATGGATCCGAACAAGATGCCTTGGCCAACTTCGAACCATTCCTCAAACTCCAAACTGCCATGAAGGATGTTTCCTCTATGCCATATTGGAAAATCAATACCTTGTGCGATGAACCAAATCTCTACGCCGCTAATCCCATCCGCTTTGCATCGGCCAATATCAAGCCACCACTTTCAGTTGACCATCTACGTGGCGCATTGGAACGATTGGATTCATTATACACGAGCGAACCAGCAGCTAGCACCACTGGATGCTTGATTCTTTTGGTACAGCCTGATGGTATCATGAAGCATAGCAGAACAGAGATGGCTTTCAGCTGGCGAGACGATCATTTTGATGTTGGCGTAGCAGCTCAATTCACTGATCCTGCCTTGGAGGAGAAAATGGCAAAATGGGCACAAGACTTTGGAGCTTACTTATCTACAGCTGGTGATAGCTATCGACTTTACAGCAATCATTCCGATTTCTCTGGCCCTGCTGCTCGAGAGCTTGGCATCAATTACCTTGAAGTTAGCAAATTGAAGCAAAAGTGGGATCCTGATAATCTCTTTCCAAAACTCTAGATAGTTGTTGATTGTGTAATTAAAGTTCATGATTTATTATAGAACACGCTTTGTTTCTAGATTATGTATGTAAATGCAAGAAGGGGTATACGTATGTCACCTACATTCAAGTGGCAGGTGGATTTTATCAGCTGTTGATTTTCCATCACTTCGACTCATCGCTTCCAAGATGCTTGATGACCACTTTATCAATTCAATCCATCATGACAACAACTCTCACGCCCACTCTCATATAAACAAGGCTGTTGTCACCAGCACTATCGTACGCCCTTTCTTTCTACTTGAATGCATATCATCATCAATGGCTTTTGGTAAGTCTCAAGGATGATTGTCTTTATGTGTTTCCCAAAATGAATGTACTCATACGTTCATCTATTATGTAGTCCACTCCGTTGCTTTACCACTTGGTGTGCTCATTGCTGCCTAATGACATTTGACTTTGTTTCTTGATGGATCCTTCTTTGTGGTAAGTATCACCATCATCGTCGTTTACATATTGATGTATGTTATTAAAGGGTGTCTTGTAGATTTGTAGGCAAAAGGCAACCCCAGTCTGGGAACTTTGGGACTCCTTTGTTTGTGACATAACTACATGCCGGATTACCTCGATGTGCGGCATGGAAGTTCTGGCATGATGCCTTATTGAAATGTGCACTTGGATCACGAGATTGCTTATGGCGTATCATGCATGAACTACCACAGCTTGATGTTGAAGAGATGAGGAGCCTTAAGGTATACTCATTCCAGCTTGCAGGTAGGTGTCAAAAGCACATCTGGGCATCATGTAGCTGACCAAAATTTTAGGAAATAGCCTTTATTATATGTACAGCATGGACATTTCCTACGGCGTATTTCGTTTTGCAATGATTGACTACGTACTTTGCCCATATCCATACATGGCATTGATCAAAGGTGTGTTGTGTTTTAAAGACGATTCAACGCGGCTGAGGAGCAAGCCAATAAGCTTGTAAGATTGTGCACTTCGAAACGGCCCCTTCCACATGTTCCATTACGACCCACAAGGAGCATACAAGCGATTAAAGATCATCCCATCACCAAGCAAAAGCACCAATGAGCCCATCTTGTAATAAATATTCCATCTTGGGGATCATGAAACTCATCACTTTATACCATCAGTATCATATATCATCAACATCATTGTTGCATTCACAGCTACAAGATACACTAGTTTCACTAAGATCATAGACGACCTGATGCATTAAATATAGCGATAGCGTAGTTTTTGATGTATGTGTATAAATACAAGTGTTGTCGACGACCCGTCAACCTAAGTCTTCTTCCACCGGAATACCTCTTGACTGTAAGACGACCTTCATGCACCCCATTTAGTAGCTTGCTATCCTTATCTATCTACGATTTATATGGGACCTGCTATGCCATAGCAGTAGTAGCGACTTGTAAGATATGAAACCATCGCAGGTTACCTTCCCGTGACCAACGTTGATCATTTTAATAACGGTTAATAGTAATGATTTATCATACAAAGGCATCAATAAATGTTGTTACTTAGATGTTGTAATCAAGCTGGGAGGTGTTGTATCTTCATGATCAAATCTTCGCCAGGTCCGAATTGGTCTCACAGTGTAGATAACATGTTAATTGTTTATGATAGGAAATGCTATTTAGATGGCAAATGCAAAAAGATGTGGATATGCAAATGAGCGCCTACTGCTGCATAATAGACCCCCTGATCACCGCCACGACGACTCCTGAGGATGCTTCATATGAACGTATCAGGCGTATTGAATGCTGCAATAGCACTGTTGGGCGTGTGTGGGCTTTGGAAACTGCATACGCTTGCAGCTTCGTCATCCGTAAAAGGTGTTGCTGGTCCTGGACTTGATGGTGTACTAAGAGCATGATAGGTCGGCATAGCTGACACCACGTGATGCGATTCTTGTGCGAAAAAAGGAGGAGTAGCTGGCATGTGTTGCTGCTGCGGAGATGAATCGATACACATGGTCATGCTGCTCGTAGTCGAAATAGCTGTATTACTCTCTTGCAAGCTCGAAGGTGGTGGTGGGTATACGCTTTCAGGTGGAGTAGTAATATAAATGGGAGGTGGTAATTGCTGTTGTTGTACATCATCCATGTAGTTGTTCGATTCTTGTTGTGGCTGCTGTTGTGGGCTGTTGTTGTTGTTGGCTGCAATGGATTGAATGAGTTTTATGCAACATGTTAATGATGGCCTGTTTTGCTTACCCCCTTGTGACATGAGAAAATGCATCATGTCTTTCATCAGCCTTTGATGCACGTCTTGCCTCCTTCGTGTTTCGGCTAGTTCTTGCATGACTTGGTTGCAATTGGCTTGAAGCTGTACAATTTGCTGGCTGATATTCGAATGGTTCACTTGTAACATAGCCATCCTTGCATTTTGTGCTGGATTATTGTTGTTGTTGCCGCCGCCGTTGTTTAATGATGTACCACGTTTGTTGCCATGGCGATGACCTTGATTATCGGCATTCTTTGATTCATGATGATCCAATGCCTTTCTTCGTATACTATCTACAAGTTCAGGTCGACCACGAATAAAGCTGCTATGACTAAACTCCCATACTTGGCGTTCATCAACAAGAGAGCGATGTCCGCGTGGAGATTTGTTGACCTTGCAAAACCCATACCTATGATGTAATAAATCCTTATTAGATAAACCTATCATACACAATGTACGATCATCCATTAATACTTGCATGTTGAGTTGACGTATGAAACTAGAAAAGTTGCTGTGCTTAAAGTGTTTAGGTAACACCTCCCTTGAGAACTCCATGACATTGCGAACAAGAAATGATTGCCCACTACAATCCCATTCTATCAAGTGCTGGTATCGAGGGTCGTTGACAAGGCTACAAACATTGATGGTTAGATTTCAAGTGCATATTTCGTTGTCATGCCGTCCATGTTACGTACCTGTATAGCTTATGAACAAACGTGTTGTCGACTCTTGACGTCCTGCTGCCATTTGCACGACGAGATGATTGGCGCCCATCCTTTGCAGTATTCGGAGGTTGAAGGAAATCTTGAGATCGAGGATGCTGTTGATGTGTGTCAGTCAAGTAATCATTGCATGAATCGAAAGCGTTGCTAGGAGACGAGATCATCGAGTTTGACATTTATGTGTGTGTGTGAATGTAGTATGATAACAACAACCAAGAGTGAATAAATGTTGCAGAGAACGAGAAAAAGAGTGGATGTGATGCAACGCCCTTTGTTTTGTAATGATGAAAAAGATGAGGGGACCCTACAGCTTTATTTGTATGCTACTCAAATGTGTTAGTGAAAAAAACACAGGGAGGAAAGGGGTTGCTCTCGCCTCCCACCAGTAATAGCCATCTAGCATAAAGCGGGCTAATGCAAGCAATTTGTGTTTATGTGCTCCCACATTTGGGTCATTTGATATCAACCTTTGATGAGTGCTTTTCATTTTGTGATCGGCAAAAGATCACAGTGCTATTACTATGATTGCATAACTTGCTACGATTAGCATTACATGTTGGAGTGTGGGACGAAATTAGGTATAACGTAAGAAGCGATCATTACTACATAGCACTTGCATATGCAATTATGAGCCCAGATTGTTGCCGATCATGATAGTGTATTAGGGCGTTTGGATGTGCATTTCTCTACAAGATCCAATGCTAGGACAAGGGAATACGATTAATCTGTAGATATGGATTACGATGATTGCCTGCACCATTTGCAAACTGCGCCACTATTATGGTTCCATGCAAAATGATCCCGTGCTCGCGTGCGTATGGTGTGGGGTTTGGGACAAAAGGAAGTTTTGTTATCTTTGTGTCACATGTGCATGTCTTACCCTCTTACTTGCGCGCCAAGTTTCTTTTTTTCCCGATGGCAGATGATGAGAGCAAATTGGCACGTCCCAAGTTTCCACCGCATTTGAACAAATTGACCCGCTCGATCAGCTTTTCCTTTTTGGTCACCAAGGCGAAAAAATTTTCATTCTTTAGAAGCACACACATACTGCCTTAATCATGCACATGATTGAATGCCAAGATCTAAGCATTGTAATGTCATACAACAAGAAGTCTTTTGCATGCACATATCTTAGTAATGGGAAGAACAGGCAATCATCCGGATCATCGCAATGGCTAAGGTTCCTAGTTTTAATTCCTCGGAAGCGTGTGGGGCTTGCTTACCAATTTTAGCCAAAGTGGTCAGTGTCACCGTTGCCCATTGGTGTGACAAAGTTCGCTGAACCATCAGATACAATCATCATTTTGCCGCTTATCGGATAGCACATGCCTCACAAAACAGCGCCCATTCATCCTGTGGTGCATCTAAAAAAAGTCCCGCTCAGGCACTGTATTTACCACATTGATGATCCTGGTTGATTTGACACATACAGGAATGCTTACGACATGTTTATCTTAGTGTAACGGGCAAGAATAGGCTTGGCACCAATGACGAAAGGATGTGATGGTGGTGCAGGGTAAAGGAGCCGATGGCAGCAAGAAAAAAAAGGTCCAGCCTTCAAGGGTTACACAAAAGATGTGAGTCATCGCCTTGCATCTTCGTGACTGGTCACAGCTGAAAGTTGAATAAACCCCCACACGATCCGGCAGCTGCGCGCTTCTTTCTCTTTCTTTATCTTTTGGTGAAAACTTTTTCTCTACACACACCTTTTTAATTATTATCTTTGAACCCTTTGAAACCCACCTGCGAACCCATTTGAACCCTTTGTTGTGATATTGTATCCCACTATGGTTTCCTTCACCGCTTAAGCTACCCCGTACACATTCGTACGATTCAACAACAGTTTTTCACCAATCAACCAGCGTTTATTTTTTCCCAAAACACACATTCGTGTAGTTGCCCAACATGGCCTACCTTCAAAGTTTACAAGCATGTCGACTCAAGCTACTAAAAAAGACTCCCCAGTCTCGAAAACCTGAACAATTACCTTGTTGAACAAGCATATCAAGATATGACCACCGTTAGCAAAAAAGTATCAAGCCCTGCCCCAAAGATTGAACCAATGGACGACCAACTATTCCAGCAGTTTTTCCAACTCGACAGCCACGGTGCTGGAGCACCATGGCTTTCGCCTGATTTTATGATGGGTGGTAACACCGCCACCAACACCGCCGCCAGTGTCCACTCTACACCAGAGATTGCCACTCCTCAAGATTTGTTTTTGACTTCGCCTACTGCTGAACCTGCCTGCAACACGTTTGAAAAGCATGTTCCTGGATTTGGTGACCTTGATGTATCCGCCATCCTCAACTCCACTTCTCCTCTTCTCGACTTTGCTCCTATCCATCATCATCAAGAGCCATCCGCCCCAAGTTCACCTACACAGCAAGATCAAGTGTCTGCCACGCCTGTTATGGAACAGCTTTCTCCTCAAATCACTGGTTTGTTGAGTGAGCTTGATGTGACTACATTGGCAGCATTGGCCGCTGGTGGACAAGATCAGGCGCAGCAACAGCAACAGCAAGTACCACAGCAAAAGGAAACACCTCAATCCCCTGTGATTGTACAGCCCCTTCCAACAACGACTCAATCCAAGAAGCGTAGTCGACCTCAAGAGTCAAGTGCACCCATGGATGAAGCCGCCATCAAGCGTCAAAAGAACACTGATGCTGCTCGTCGTTCTCGGTTACGAAAGGTGCTCAAGATGGAATCTCTCGAGAAGCGTGTGGCTGAACTTGAAAAAGCCAACACCACTTTGCTGTTACGTGCTGCTGTTCTCGAGTCGGAAAAGTCTGCATTGCTTACCAAGGAAGCTTCATATGAGCAACGTATCAAGACCCTGGAATCCCAGTTGGCTGAGGCCCATCAATCTTTGGCTGGCATTGCTTCGAGACCTTAAGTCTCTTTCTCTCTCTTTATCTTTTGCATTTTCCTTTTTTTCCTTTTCCTTTCTCTGTAGATTTGCTTCTTTTCTTTCTTTCTAATTACATCATTATATAAATATATCATCAGTATTGGTCGTGTATACATTTATATGTGCATGTCATGTTGCAAGTGCATGGGGATGGTCATATGGCGATAAATGGTCAGTGCATGATTACTCTTTTTGGGAGGGTAATACAACTCGGAAGGTTCACATTCACAGCCGACTTCTCTTTCCACTTTCCACAACCACCGAAATGCCAATGTCGTCAATGGAATCAGAACCCACACGTACAACCCCTTCCCATTCAACCACTGAACGTGTCAAGCGTTTCTTTGATCAGCGAGATTGGAAGTTTTATTGTGCTCTTGCAGCTGGTGTCGGATTGGTGGGTGCTGCAGGCGCGTACTACTATTACTCGACAATATCTTCCGGTCGACGACGACCACGATCACCTGCTGGCAATCGCAAGTTCAAAGCTCCTGCTGGTATGTATCATATAACAACCTTCTATGTGTATGATTTGCTCAACGCCTGAAATAGCTGACAAGACGACAACACCGTTACCTACTGGATATGAGGATATGTCATCGAGTGCCATAGCCAACTTGAATGAACAGGTAACACAAAGCACTTGGATTGCCGATATTGAATACTAACATGTTGCATAAACAATGCTATATAGCAACGTGCTGAAGCAGCCAATGCACTCAAGCTAAAGGGCAACACCGAATTTACAACCAAACACTGGGATCGTGCAGCGGCATTATACACCAAGGCACTCGAATTCAAAGAGGATCCAGTATACTACTCGAATCGTGCTGCTTGCTTTGCCAACTTGGGCGAGACCGATCGTGTACTTGAGGATTGCAACAAAGCGCTCACCTTGAATCCATTATACATCAAAGCAGTGTATCGACGTGCACATGCATTGGAATTGAAAGAAGAATTGGAGGCGGCGTTGTATGGTAGGTTCATCATTGAATGAGGATGGGATCAACGCATTTGGGCTTACATAGAGAGCTCTAGATTTCACGTGTGTTTGTATATTGGATGGGTTCAGAAACGAAGCTGCTGCCAAAGCCATGGAAAGCCTACTCAAAAGGGTGTCTGCTGCTAAAGCTGCCGAGTTGATCAAGGTAAAATTGAACAACATGGCGCCAACAACATACGTATTGACTCATTGATCTTTTAGACAAAGAATCCAAAATTACCCTCTTCAGCTTTTGTGGGTGCTTACTTTGATTCATTTCGTCCTGGTATGTATGACATTCTATTGGGCAAGTAGAGGATATTCGATTAAAGGATGGTGGATTAGATGCATCTCGTCCTTTGGCAGTGGCATCACCTAACGAGGAAACGGCGGATGGGTATTATTCAAAGACATGTGACGCCATGAAACACAAGCGCTACGAGGAAGCACTCAAGGCGTGTGAACGAGCCATTGACGCTGGGTGCTCCGAGGCCTATCTTGCACATGCGCTCAACATTAAGGGAACGTTCTTGTTCTTGAAAGGCGACACGGAAGGTGCTCTCACGTGCTTTAACCGATCTATTGACATCGATCCCAAATATGTGCAAAGCTATATCAAACGATCGAGCGTGTATATGGAGCAAGGTATGTGCTTTTGGAAGAAATGGCATCTGATGGCTGATGTACTACTACTACTAGGCAACGTACCTGAGGCCTTCAAACAATTTGACGAGGCATTATCCATAAGTGCTTCCAACCCGGATATTTACTATCATCGGTAAGTGATTTCTTTGTTGTGTGTTTCCATTATGATGAATAGCATGCTGAAAAAAGGAGCATATAGTGGTCAGAGTAAGTGATGCGATGGTGGTGTGCAACAAATGGATAGTGAATGTTGGCTGACATGGATTCTTCTAAAGTCAATTTCATTTGCGGCAAATTTGAGGATGCAGCCAAGGATTACAGTGAAAGCATCAAGCTTGATGACACGTTTGTTTATGCATATATCCAATTGGGCGTGGCACAATACAAGAGCGGATCAACGGATGCATCGACAGCGACATTCAACCGTGCATTGACTCTCTTTCCACATTCATCGGATCTACACAACTATTATGGTGAATTGCTTGCTGATCAGCAAAAGCTACCCGAAGCGTTGGAGATGTTTACCAAAGCGATCGAACTCGACTCAAGTAGTCCATTACCCTACGTGAACAAGGCCATGCTTATGTATCAATCGGTGGGAGATGTTAAGCAAGCAATTGACTTGTGCAAAAAGGCCTTGGATGGTATGTGCGATTATTACTAGTGGAGTGTGTGTGAATCACCAAACTTATGTACGCATACATTAGTGGATCCCGCGTGTGATGCAGCAGTAGCGTCGCTTGCACAAATGTTGCTTGAACAAGGAGAACCAGAAGAAGCGTTACGCTATTATGAAACGGCAATTGATCTCGCACGTACAGAGGCTGAATTACAACATGCAATCTCCTACGTCGAAGCTACGAAGGCACAAGTCAGGTATGTAAAATCAAAGGAGAGAGGTCATAGTGAAATGGGTACTCATTCTTATCACGTCTACTAGATTCACACAAGATTATCCACAAGCATCATCACGTCTTGAGAAATTGAGGAAACATTGAGGCTTTTGATAGCACACGTATACATACACAACAAGTAGCAATTAGCAATATCGACTCCATACTCCATGAGGTGTTTATAGTACAGTAAATGTCATTATACTAAAATAAAGCAAACAGCTACAAGCAAAAGGTAATTCTATGTATCCTTATTCTCAAAATGTGTATCCAACTTGCATCTTGGTCATTCAACGGATGACAATTGTTGCATGGATTTGCTGCTACTGGCGAAGGTTGTCTTGTTTCCTTAATGAGCAGTGGATGGGGCATCGGTTGGTATATATCCAAGTAACTCAAAGCGATCGTTCACCCTTCTTGGTCAGCCGAATTAAATCACCCATTGGTGTCTTGTGCCTGTGTGGAGTATAGTAATGCATCAGTGGATGTCGCTCATAACCCCTTTATCCATATGGGACTCGTACCTTTCAACACGACCACTACCAACCAAATCACGCAATATAAACGAATGACTTAGCACCGTTAAATTGAGCTTCTTTTCCTTGATTTGCTGTAAACGTTGTGAGTCAAATTGTAACCTTGCTCATGCCATTCTTATTACCTTTTCCATCATGTCCTTGGTCATCCGTTTCTTGAGTGCACGTATTATCTCGCTTCTTCCTTTCCGGAGATACGACATGAACATGCCATTACGTCGCACAGCAAACCAATAGGTGTTTGGGATCGTCGTGTGTGGAAGAATGATATGATATCGTATCAACTGGCTAAAATAAAATCATTGGTATTATGCACATTGCGAGTTACACGTCAACTTACCTGATTTCATTATCTGTAAAATCCTCCAGGGATGAGCGTTTGATGGTGACTTCAGGATACTTTGCATCTTTGATGAGATCTTTGAAGCGATCTATATAGCAAGAGATTAGAGTAATTCGATCAAAAATCATTGCATCTTACGTACCAAAAGTTTCAGGGCACAAGCCTTTCTCATGTTCTTTATCAACCATGCATTCTTGTTTAGCTTCATCAATGGTAGCCAAGTAGTCTTCAGTGCGCATAAGAATCAACTCATCATCCATCGTCCCAGTGACATGAAACTTTCTCCATGAACCTTCAATGGCCAATTGTTGCTAATTGCATGAGTGTAAGCGAGGTCATGTGATACTTTTCCCTCTCTGCATGATGGGCATTTACCACTTCACGATCAACGGTCGTATTGTCCGACAATATTGCATAAATTTGATGCACTAAGCAGATCCTTGGAATACGGCGAGCAGACTCGGATCCTTTGTGTTTGGGTGCAATGGCTTGTTCAATGAGCAATTGCGCAGCAGCTGCAGTGTCTGACATGATGGGCCAATCCTCAATGTCGAAATGGTCGAATTCGCTATCATTGTCCTTTTCCAATTGCCGTCTGACTGCTTCAGTAGCTCTTCTCTTGTTTCCATAGACATCAGGGATGACGGTGGGTTGACTAACAAGGGCTGAATAGCGCTGCCGAGCTCGTTTTCTTTGTTGGTTCATTGTAAAGAGAGAGAGAGAGAGAGGTAGGTCCCTTTCGGAGCAAATTCAGCCGTAGCACATTCAAATTCGTCGCAGCATGATGATCCCTTGTCCCACACTTCTTGATTTGGCAACAAATGATGATCAAGCCACATGACAATTACATCCCCTTCCTCCTTGTTGACAATGGCATTTTCTTTGTATTCATGATGAAGGATGTTGTAGAATGCATTCATTATAATAAAGATGCCGATTGTGAGTGCAATTATGACATACACCAACAATCAAAATCATTCACTACCACAACTACCATCATATCCACTTGCGAGACAAGGGTAGAGACGAAGGTTCATATCACTAAGCTGCATGCTACTCATTGTTATAAGAAAGAGAGAAAGAATGATCCGTGATAGCCTTATCATCCTTCAATTACTTCCAAGAATAGTCATCTAGTGGTGTCTATGATACTGCAGCAGTGCCAAGTGGGGCAAGATATCAACACGGCAATACGTTGTGAACGACAGAGGTATTTTATCATATTCGATATAGGTGATTGTGTAAATAAAAATGCCATGACAACGGATGCTTAGCAACGGAAGATGCATAATTTTGAGCAGCGTTACATAGCCGAGCAACCAAATTTTTCGGTGGAGTAGTGACACCGCTTTTTTCTTGTCTCAGCTTTCCTTCTTTGTTTAACCACTGATCTACAATGAGCGACCACCAAAAGCTCGCTGTCAAACAAAATCCTCGCATTCTCTTTCGAGACACACCAGAAGCCAAGTATTGGCGACGATTCAAGGTATGGATCAGGAAGCGATCGTACCCAATGGGTCCAAATTCGCTGACTCTTGTTATGAATAGAATCCAATCTCGATCAAGGAGTATGGTCCTGTCACCTCGATCTATTTTTCACCTGCTGCACCATACGACTTTGCTGTATCGTCTTCGGCACGTGTTCAAATCTATTCTTCAAAGACACATTCACCAAAGAAGACGATTTCACGGTTCAAGGATATTGCATATTCCGGTTCTTTTCGACAGGATGGAAAGCTCGTTGTAGCTGGTGATGGCACTGGTCTCGTTCAAATGTTTGATGTCAATTCACGTGCTATTCTGAGAACATTCCGAGGACATTCATTGTATGTATTGAATGGAAGGATTATATGGGGGATAAGGTATTAATCAATGGGATATCTATAAAAGGCCTGTACATGTTACGCGATTCTCCAACGACAAGACGCATATTCTTTCAGCATCAGATGATCGAACGGTGCGATTGTGGGATATACCATCAGAAACCAGTGTCAACGTATTCGAGGATCACGAAGATTATGTGCGTGCAGGTGTTGTGAGTGACGACAATCCCAACTTGATCTTGACGGGTTCCTATGACCAAACCGTACGATTGTGGGATACTCGACAAAATCAATGTGTTATGACGATGCAGCATGGCGCTCCTGTGGAATCATTGCTTATGTATCCTAGTGGTAATGCGGTCGTTTCTGCTGGTGGACCAACACTCAAAGTATGGGATTTGCTTGCCGGTGGTCGATGTATGCACACTGTCAGCAGTCATCAAAAGACAATTACCAGCATGTGCTTTGATGGCTCGGCATCACGCTTGCTTACGGGATCTCTCGATCATCACGTCAAGATTTTCAATGTACAAGATTACAAGGTTGTTCACAGCATCAAATATTCGGCTCCTATCATGAGCGTCGCCATGTCACCAGATGATACACATCTTGTCGCTGGTATGGCCAATGGCTACTTATCGATCCGTAAGCGACAAGTCAATAGTGAAGAGAAAGCTGCCAAATCCCGGAAACAAGAACAATTACGCAGCGGTGCTTACAAGTACTTCATGCGTGGCAAATCAAGCGTACCTGAACAAGATGCCTTTGTTGTTGAGCGCACACGTAAAACAAGACTCAACCAATACGACAAGTACCTCAAGAGCTTTGAATACCATAATGCACTTGATGAAGTGCTCCGTTTGCGCAACACCAATGTCACTGCTGCCATGTTACAGGAATTGATCCATCGAGATGGTCTTGAGTCGGCTCTCTCTGGAAGAGACGACGTGGGTTTGGAGCCGCTGGTCAGCTTCCTGATACGACACATTAATCAACCACGATATACTCCTTTGCTTGTGGATGTTGCAGATGTTTTACTTGGTAAGCTTGGATATAAAAAAGAGGATGTGTGTGATGGCTCTTTTTTCTGTTACTGACAACAATCATACATAGATATCTATACACCGGTAGTGGGTCAATCACCGCTGATCGACGGCTTATTAGGACAACTTGCATTCAAGGTTAATCGGGAAATCGACTTGCAGAAGGACTTGACCCAAGCCATGGGTATCTTAGACATGCTTTTTTCAAAATCAGGAGCAGGCAGTGAACATACTTCATCCGACTATTAATTAAACTCGCACATATCATCATCATCATCATCCTTATAGAGCAAAAAGGACGTCTAATATTCTTGTGTGTATTTATGGTTTGTGGATTGTATAGTAAAATGAGATGCATGGGGGATTGTTTATGTAGCTGATAGCCACAATAATAAGTGTTGCTTCCTCGCATAGGCGTTTGAACGGCTCTCATAGAAATCTTATGCATTTGCTACTCATCCATGTCATCGTGAGTTGGGTGGTTGACCCTCCTACTCTCAACTTTTATGCATCCCACTCTACAGGAGCGATGCTCCTACCCCTTCCAATATTTTGATCTTTCAATTGTCTTGATCCGATGAGATTTGACTGAAAAACGCTCAAACACAGAAACATCATCCAATATCAGAAGAATCATTTTGCAAAGTTATTTGTAAACTGCCAGCTAATAGCCCATACCTCCCATTCACCTTTGTTGTCCAATCCAATGCATACGAACGATTGTCTTGCTCCAGCCCAGCATGCCCATCATTTAACTTTCATGATTCGAGCTAACCTGGTAGTAAGGTAATGGCTGTTGTTGGATCATCATTATCATGTAAAGTGTAAAATGGCACACATACCCTTTTGCTATACGTGAGGATCATTTTATTTACGTGTACCTATTGTCTATCGTGAGGGTGATGATGACGATGGGTGGATGGTGTGTGGATGGGGTCATTGAGTGGCCTCAGTGTAATAGCAGTAGGGGGATTTAAACTTGAGGGACAGCAGCTCCACGACTTGAGACAACGCTTCTCTTCTCTTTCTCACTCCTCTGCTTTTATTCCATTGACGACATCTCGATCAAGGTGATGTATTATAAAAAAGTGCTCTTGTTGGCCGTGAGGTGTTAATGTAGTTCTGAACATGCATTGTCAGGGAGTTAGCTGAAGAATGAGCGTGGTGGGTGGTTGGTGGTTGCCATGGCGATATCGTTGCTTCCTCTTGTCCGTTGCTATTCCCGCCTTACGCTTGGTGTCAACAGGTACATTCAGGGTCCAATGTTGCAGCCGAACCGGTTCCATTGACGTGTTAGCTTGTATAGAGAGCAAGTTTGGTTTCAAGACGTTGGCTGGTTTGGCGTTTTGTTTCAGCTGAACTATTCTACACCATGGTTTTCGGTTTCCAGTAACCAACAACAACGGGTCTTTGTGTATATGGAAAAGGCAAGTACAATGAAACAAACAATGAAAAGGGTGTTTATTGTACGTGTGTGCTAATAATGAATTGAATAGCTTTCTTTGGTCAGGCAATGCAACTTGGGGCATCATCATCATCTCTTTGGGTTCAAGTCCCAGCCTGTATCAAGTGGCCGCTGCGTCGCTCTGCACTAGTCAAGTGTGCTGGAAAAGCTTCTTGGAACGCGTCCAGGGCTCTATAGGCCTGCGTTGAGTTGAGGATGGGTCGATGACGATGGATTTTTGGAAGAGCATGGTCACCGTGTTGAGGTAAAGGGGATTTGCAACAGCTTGTGAATGCGTTTAACCAACACGCTCTTCTCGTGATAGGCTCGTTCTTTTCCTTTGAGGATTTCTTTTCATGAGGTGGGAAATGATTGGAAGGATTGGGGATCATTCTTTCTTTGGAGAGGATGAATGAGAACAACTATGAGCCTGGACTCTACGTAAGTGATGTCCTTCCTTGCCATGGATCGAACTGGCCTTGCGAGATTCGTGCAGTGCCTTCTCAAGAACAAGGGATCGCCCGACGTTGCTCGTACGGTGGTGATTTGGTTTGTGAATTCCTTCGGATATGCTTTCTTCCTTAGAGAGGATCGCCTAACGGTATACCAAATCGTCATCATTCCCGGTACCAGATGGTCTAACTTGCCTGCTTTCTTATTTGTAGAGACGGCGATTACGATGATTACCACATTCACAACAATGACGATTACGGTGATCACCCCATCTACAACAGTGACAATGATGACGACAACGAGATTCAAAAGGAAGCCTGCAAGATCCCATTCTTTTCAACTTGTGTATTTTTGGATGTTTGGTGTGACGGATGAGATTGACGACTGGTGACGAGTACGAGTAGGAATGATGACAGAGGACGACTACGACGATGGCGGTGGCAATGTACAGTACATAGCAAGATAGCTAGATGAAATAAAGCATTGTTTATTTATTACACGCTTGTTGGAGGTTGCTAGCTTGTGGATTACATACTATTGCTTCGAAGATGGAATAATAAAGGTGGTCCGGTTAAGAAGTACATGACTTTTGCGATACAATAAGGAGGAGTGGGAAGTGGGATGAGCTTGAGAAGAGAAAAAGTGAAGAGATCCCTCCATTGAGTTTCAGGATGAGTGACTCATTCAATATGTATATGTATCTTTTTACATATACAAATTGGTTTATGCAGCTCGACTTTCTTCTACATGCAAATGTGATGCATACCTTGACACACCTTCATTATTGGATGCTGTTTACTTACGTACCTTCACAAAAGGCAATCATCATCATCATCATCATCATCATCATCCATTTGTGTAGCAACCTGTCAAGGACATGTCTGTGTAACCACCACGTGCCGTTTCACTCAGCTCTTCATCTTTCATTTAATGCAGCCGACACCATCACTAGGAAAAAGCAACTCCATCACGCTTACAGCATAGGTAAAACATAAACGTGCCTGTATCTCCAAACTTTACAATGAAACGTGAGGTTTTTATTAAAGCAATGTGCTCGTCTTGGCCAACAGCAGCTTGTGTGGAAGTTTCACGTTCAATGTCGCAACTAGCCCAAAAAATATTTTTTGGTCGTCGTCGTCGAAGAGGTCGACCTCCGGATCCAGTTTGGCTGGTGGCGACATTGCGAAATCTGGGATTGGCAAGCTTGATCATGAAACTGGCACCCAAGGTGCAGTTGGCCAAGTCGAGCACATTGCTCTAATAAAAACCCCACGTTTGATTGTAAAGTTTGGAGATACAGGCGCCTTTATGTTTGTAAGCGTGATGCTATATGAAGAGTGGTCTTTGTTCATTGTCAAGTAGGTGGACCCTGGCAGAGCAAAAGATGCAGAAGGATCTCTTTGGGTAACTCAGCTAAAAAGTCAGGACTTCAGGGACAATGCATGATAGGTACGCAACCCTCATTTTCAGGTCATACATTGGCAGCTAATAGCCATTTTTGTGCATTCCCAACTTTTGTGCATTCTATTGTAGGTGGACGATGCTCCTGCTCTAGACATTCATTTCCATGATTAAAGTAGGTTGATCCGAGCTGATTTGGTTGAGTTACGCTCACACAAGATTACATCGGTTGAGCTACATCGAGCGTGCTCTATGTCCAGAGTGATGTAATCTCTCTTTGACCGTAGCTCAGTCAAATCAGCTCGGATCAACCTACTTTGATCATGGAAATGAATGTCTGGAGCAGGGGCATCGTTCCCAAGAAGTGGATCTCGCAACAATGATGATTGGATAAAAGTGGCCGTTAGCTAGCAATACATGCCTGTTCCTAGATGATCCATAAAGTAATTATACATTGACCCTTTCATTCATGCAAATGTAGCTGTGTTACACAACACGAGCCTCTGCATCTTTTGCTCTGTCAGGGTCTAGCTACTTTACATTAAACAAAGACCACTTGTCATATAGCATCACGCTTACAAACATAAAGGAGCCTGTATCTCCAAACTTTACAATGAAACGTGAGGTTTTTATTAGAGCAATGTGCTCGTCTTGGCCAACAGCACCTTGTGTGAAAGTTTCACGTTCAATGTCGCAACTAGCCCAAAAAATATTTTTTTGGTCGTCGTCGTCGAAGAGGTCGACCTCCGGATCCAGTTTGGCTGGTAGCGACATTGCGAAATCTGGGATTGGCAAGCTTGATCATGAAACTGGCACCCAAGGTGCAGTTGGCCAAG